CAGGCATCGCATATATCTCATGGGCTAGATGCGAATCGACTGGGCCATAGAACCGGAAATAACAAAGCAGAAAAGATCATCTTGTTTTATTTTTGCGCTTGATGTCTTCAGCTTGCTTCCTGTGTCTCCTGCAAGACAACAAAGACAGGCAATAACATTCACAGGCAATGGATGCCGGAAGATATCTCCGCCTCTGCAGCAAACATGTTCATCTGATATAGATCACAAACCTTGCTTCCCGCCGCTTTTTTGATTCTGCATCCCGCTAGACACGGGCAAGCATGAGATTGGTGATTTTGAAACAATTAAGTGGCGTTTCCAAAGACAAGTAGCTGTGCTGTGACGAGCAATGCTCTCTGGGTAAATGGCAGCCGACCTTTCCAGAATCTCCTCTGTTCGCGGTTCAATCTCCAGAGGCATCATGCGGCGCGCAGTCTCAACCAAAATTCAGAATGTGAGTATGGGGTGAATGGCCCCAGGTCAGATGTGAGGACGCCGAGCCAGTGCACTTAAACAAAAAGCTAGCATACCCATACAAGGAAGCTATCCGGTAACGCTTTATGGACCTCCCCGCCTCTGGATGCATCCCGTGGCCTTGATCTGAACCGGTGTCGTTTCTTGGCTTGGCGTGGTTTTGTGGCTTTTAGACCACAGTCCAGCAAACTTGCGAAATGGTGGTTCAACAGAGCTCACTAAATAGAATCCAAGGCACTCGTTCCCACGCAATGTACTTCGTAACCACCCGCTTTTACTTTACTCTGCGGATATGTATATGCTACGAAGCACTCTGGGAGTCTGTCCTCCGTCTCTCCGATAAAAGGTCGTCAGCGCAGCCCAAAGCGGTTTAGCCCCAGGAGCATGGGCCCGGCAGCTCTCATTGGCTGGCCCGCGGCTCTCGGTCACATGACCGACCCGCCATGAGGTCTCTTAGCCACGCCCGGCCACCCGTCTTGTCCTCACGACGACCATCATCACGACGTCGTTGTCGCTGTCAATTGTCAAGCTTCCCGAGGAGCTTTGTGCTTTGCTCTTGACCTTGGGAAATTGCTATCTTTCTTCAGGGCTACTTGTAGGTTGCCTAATCCCTTGTCATATCTCCCTTTTCCACCTGCACCTCTTTGCCGCTTCGCCCGTTATCTTTCCCTCGTCCTCCAACTCCATCATCTGGTTCTACCCTCTCCTTCTTCTTCTTCTCCCTCTTCTTCTCCCTCTTTTTCTCCTTCTTCTTCTTTCTGGACTCATATTCCTCGTTGATCAGGGGACGCGACTGCAACCCCCGCAAAACCTATCTATTCTTTCACTGCCTTCGCCTAGTGGTACCTTTTTCTTGCCCAACCCAGGCCGGCCTCAATGCTCTCCAGATCGTTTCGGAAGCGATAGCCTCTTTGTAGCTTAGTTTATCTTTCTTGGATCTTCCACTTCTTTTATCTATTGCCAATGCCCCCTTCCCTTGACCTGCCGCAACTCACGTGCCGCTCTGCTTTTGAAACCCAGTCTAACCCTCAAAATGTCCACCAATAGCTCTATCCCATTGGCTCCCTTCCCGACCGTGGCCTTCGACTCTGAAGTTCCTGTGACATAGCGCTTGCGCCCTTCGCCGGCATCCAATCCTGGATGCTGTGTTAATAATTTTTTTTTTGAACTACACGGCCCATCGAGGCAATCACTGACTGAGCGTGGAAACGTGTCATTTCGTTAGTGTTACTCGCAATGGATCCCTATGACACCTTTGGATCGCCTCCTCCGCCGAGCAAATCCGACACCAGGTGGACGCGCGATGAAGAGAGTTTCACATCGCGATCGGGTGTGGATTCTTATCGCAGGAGATCCCCAGGTATGTCACCCTGCCCGAAAAGCACAAAAACCCAAGAAAGTCTCCACTTCCCCGGTTATGGTTCTTGCGTATTCGAGACCGAGGCCAGCTTCTCTAATACGCAGTAGGGGTTTCGCAGGACCGCCGTAGAGTAAGCGGACGCGCAAGATCCCGTTCTCCCATCACTATCGATCGATATCAGCCAGGTGACCGTGTCAACCGTGATGAATACTACAGTGCATCGCGAGATCACGCTGCCCGTGATCGTGAAGAGCGCCGGCGCCATCCCTCGCCAACCGCGGCAAACATCGACAGATATGTCCCTGGACAGGAAACCGGCAGGCCCATCATTCGTACCAACCCTCTTCCAAATCCTCTGACCCTCGAATATCAGGTTGGGTTCAATTGGTTCGCTGAATGGTGGCGAACTGAGCAGATTATAAAAGAAGAGAAAGAACGAGCAAAGCATGGTGGTCGACGTCCCTCCGACCGTGTCAAAGGGGAGCGCGAGGCCAGAGAGGACCGGGAAAAGGAAAGAGGCCTCATTCAGACAGCGTACGACGCATATAAGTCAGATTTTCAAGTCAAGACGGCTCGTTCATTTGTGCAAAGACATCGAAATGAGGAGTGGTTCAAAGAGCGATATGTCTCTGAGATTCGAGATCCCTTCCGTCAGCGTTTGATGGAGTTTAGGTCCGGAGCATATGATAGATGGCTGCAAGACCTTGATTCGGGGCTTTTCGATGAATTCACACTCGAAGGAATTTACAAAAGCGAGAGTGACGGCGCCGGCGGGATTGTTGAGAAAGAGGAAGGAGAAGCAACCGCAGTGGGTGAAACACTGAGTGTTCTCGACCTCTTACCAACAAGAGGCGGCGACCTTCGGGATGAATCGTTATTACAACCAGCCCTTCTTATTAAAACATTGGCCCCCAATGTCAGTCGTGAAAAGATTGAAGAGTTTTGCAAGGAGAATCTTGGGGAAGGAGACGGTGGGTTTAAATGGCTGAGCTTAAGTGATCCCAATCCTTCGAAAAAGTGTCATCGAATCGGTTGGATAATGCTTCACCCCGCTCCAGAGCCCCATGCCGTGATTGAAAGGGGTGATGGGAGGGATGAAGAGGGCGAAGAAGCTGAAGCAACCACGGCCTCAAACGGGACTACCGAGAACTCCACCGCAGAAAAGGCGTTGGATGCTGTGAACGAAAAGACCATCCAAGACCCTGTTCGTGGAGATTTCGTGTGCCACGTTGGTGTTCATGTTCCGCCAGCAAATCCGAAGAAAAAAGCACTCTGGGATCTTTTCTCTGCTCCGGAGCGTATCGATCGGGATCTTGAATTGGTAAAACGCGTCGTGGCAAAGCTGGATTCTCAGATGGTTTCTGCCGATGGTATTGCCAAAGTTGAGGAGCGTGTTGAAGATCTTCGTGGAAAGGGATGGTTGCAACCACCTGTTACTGGACCTGTGAAGGTAAAGAAATCAAAGTCTTTCGATCTCGACTCAGAAATGGTCTTGCTTGAAGACGGAGAGGCAGAAGAGGGAGAAGAACAGGACGAGACAGATGATGATGAGGTTGATAGTGAGGATCTCCTTGTCAAAAAGAAAAAGCTGGATTTAATGGTGGAATACTTGAGACGGGTTCACAACTTCTGTTTCTTCTGCGTGTTTGAGAGCGATTCGGTTCACGAATTGGTTCGCAAATGCCCTGGTGGCCATTTACGTCGGCCTCGGTCTGGATTGAGTACGCACGCTAAAGCTGCAGCCAAAGCAAGCGCTCTTGGTGAGCCTTATCCATCTAAGAAGAAAGAAGAGGTCGAAGAAGGTGAGGCGGAGCCGTCCCCAAGTGAAGAGAAAAAGCCACCACGGTTTTCATCAAAGAGCGAACAACAAATTTATCGCGCCTTCAATTGGGTCAAGACCTTTGAGGAAAAGCTACTTCAAATCCTAGAACCTGAAAATGTGGATCTGAAGAAGCTTGGTGGTAGGCCTGTTGAGGAAGCCCTTGAAGAGGAACTCAACAAATTTGTCAAGCAGGAGGATGAAGCGAAATTCCGTTGCAAGGTTCCCGAGTGTACTAAGCTTTTTAAAGCTCACCATTTCTGGAGGAAGCACGTCGAGAAGAGGCACCCTGAATGGTTTAGTGAGATCCAGAAAGAGGTACGTTCAACCTTTTTTAAGTCCCAGGCATTCGATTGTGCTAACTATCACCCAGCTTACCCTTGTGAATGCATATGTCCTCGATCCTGCACATATTTCTCCGTCACGATCTGATGCTGCTAGCAATGGGCACTTCCCTTTCCCACCGGGCCATGTACCAGCCGGTACTCCACGTGGATTTAATTTTGCAAATATGCCGTTTAATTTCGGTGCAAACGGATCCATGGCTGGCACCGCCTTTCAAGGAATGCCCTCGTCTTCTACAGGCCTTCCTGGTTTCATGAATGCTGGCAGTTGGGCTAGTGGTGGAATGGCTATGGCTGGTGCTGCTGGAGGAGCCACTTCAGGCCTTCACAACCCTGGTGTAATTCGCCGAGGAGGCCGTCACTATAATAGATCCGGTCCGTATGATCGTCGAGGGGGTCGATTTGGCGGAGCTGGCAGCACTGGTCCCGGAAGTAGTGGTCGACTTAGTCCCGTCCGTGGTATGTTTGGCGCCCCTAACGCCGGAGCTCCTTACGTTCCACCTGGCCATCCAGCTGCATTGGCTGCTATGGGAGGCTTTGGTCCTGGTGGACGATGGGGGGATAGTGCTGGCGGTGGTGCTCAGGCTATGGGGCCACGCGAAGCTGTTCAAGGCCGAAGCCTAAAGAGTTACGAGGATTTGGACGCTGTGGGTGGTCCTGGCGATGGAGAATTGAACTACTAATCCTTGCAAGAAAGACCCAAAAAAACTGTAACTTTAATGACCTGGGGTTATTTTGATTTTCCTGTTTCTGTGTTGTGTCTTTGCTTTATTGCTGTGCGCTCTGTCAAATTGTGAATTATGGGCCTGGCTATCTCTTTGATATATGTTATGGAGGTCAAAATGGGATCTCAAATGGATGAATTTTAACGGTGATGGCTCCTTTAGTTGCATGTGAAATAACCAGTTAATACAAAGGGAAGACATTATCTGAATTCTGATTCAAATGGTACACCTCTTTCGTATTCCATATTTGTTGGCGACTTTAATAAACCACTCCTCGCTCATTCCCGCCCTTCGAACGCAGCCTTCAACCTAGCAATTTCAAGCTTCTTGCTATTCAACATCGTCTGTCTCGCGCGTTCCTGCTTTTCCTTATCCTCGTCGGAAAGCATTTCCATCAAAGCCTTCGGTACAACCTGCCAGGACACGCCGAATTTATCCGTGATCCACCCACATTGAATCTCCTTGCCGCCGTCTTTAAGGAAGTTCTCCCAAAAATAATCAACCTCCGCCTGGTCCTCGCAGGTGATGAACAGCGACACGGCCGGAGAGTGTGTGTAGTGGGGCCCGCCGTTGAGCGCGCTATACTCCTGTCCCGAGAGCATGAATGTCACCAGCGGCTCGGCGATGGATGTGATGCGGGAGACATCTGCAGCATCGCCGGGCTTGGCGTTCGGCCTCTGCGAGAAGAGGGTGGTGTAGTATGTTGCGGCTTCGACAGCTTGGGTGTCAAACCAGAGACAGGGGTGAACTTTCTGGTGGACGATGTGGGACCCTTCTTTTGGAGCCATGGTCGGCTAGTTGCGAGGAATATTTTGACAATTTGGGATTCCCCGGATCGCTTAGGAGTTTGAGCAGATAATTGACGAAGATGGAAACCCAGGGCAACAAGATACTGGTCCGGCGATTGTGGGCTTGGTTTTTAGGAGCTGGGGACAAGGTGCATTGAAACGCTCATGGCTGGGTATTTATATCCTGTACAGCCCATCATGGGAGATGATAGTTGTGGCCATCGCGTCGGGAATGATTTGTCTTCCTTAGGCACCAGCGAGCTTCCTCAAGTCTCCATGCGCTCTGATTTGCCTGCTCAACATCCCGATACGAAGGGGAGAGCAGATGAAAAGGGCCCTAGTCCAGAAGTGGGCTAGCGTACAGCCTCCCCACGGTCCCGGCGGAGTCAATTCCAACGTCAACCAAACAGTTGCGGTCGGCCCGATCAGTAATCACGCAAATCGCTATTTCGACACCCCCTGTTGCGGCTTGCCGCTGGAGTTGTTCACGGGGAGGGTCCCTTAATACGGGCTATCAAAAAGATATTTCCGTCGATACTTTTTATGTGTTGTCTACCAATGGTGCCATATACCGTAACCAGAGGGCCTACGAGGTCCAAAGCGTGACCTGATCGAACCAGCATTGTGTCCATAACCGAAGTCAAGCAGACACCCATTGTGGATATGAGGACTTGGATATCTCTAACAAAAGATTCCAAACATACAGATTTGCATCTACAGCTGTCCCTAGGGAGATGCCAGGGCTCCAAACATATTTACAGGGCCAAGATATAATTGATATATTAGAACATCACTGGCTCACACAGGTTTAGAATTTAGGCCTTTTTGTCAATTTTGCTTCTATGTCTATTCAATACTGCTAAGCATATCTCTCTTCAGTGTAACAATCTTCAGTTCAGCCTGCGACCCCCAGATGCCCTTTGGATACATTTTGGTATGAACAAGTTTATAGCCCCGCCTCTCCCAATATGGCGCCAGATGTTGCTTTGCTCTGATCCAGAGCGTTAACTTCTGGACTTTGGCGGAAGATGCGGAGGTATGACTTCTACTCTGTGCCCCCGACACTGCGGACGGGTTCTTGCGAGCTTCTTCCAGGCGCTTCAAGAGATCTATTTCCAACTGATCGACGCAATATACTGCCAAACCGAGCTTTCTCAATGACGGATCATCCTGTAGAATGGCGACTGCGGCCGGTTCCCACTGAGTAATAGATAGAAGGTCAGCAGGCTCTGAGTCATATCCTGCCGTGGGACGTACATTAGCCGACGTCGTTCTGTGTCTCTGATTTTTATTAAATTAAAAAAAAAGAAAAGAAAAGAAAAGAAAAGAAAAGAAAGAAAAAAAAAAGGAGGTAAAAAATGAAAGAAAGAAAGAACCGTAGGGAAGCAGAGCGATTCCCGACCTAGACGTGGAGAATGAAGACTCTTTAATTTTCGCCGCGACCACTAACCATGTTCTGACTCGATTCTTCCATTGGCGTGTATTACCCCAATTGGATCTACCCCTACAGCCGGGTTGTAATACTTGATCATGGCTGTCGCTACGGGATTGATCCTATCGACGTCGGTATCTCGAAATATGACGATGCACCGGCCGTGGGTACCCAGAGTTGCAGATACTGCGTCCAAGGTGGGGAAACGGTCATGATTACCTTCGCGAAAAGCATCATTGACCATGATTTGAAGGGACTTAAGACATGGGTGGGCGCGCAATTGGTCGGAATCGAGAAGGGTACCACTGAATCCGGGGAACTGGGCGATTGGTGAGGTAGCCATGCTATATGTGGTTGGATCCTGCGGGGGAGGCCGTCAAAATGCAAATATGAAGACACAAGTAACAAAAAGTATTTTTTTTAAAAAGAAAGGTGTGATTTCCGTAGTCGACTCTAAGCAGCTAACCAACTCTGGATGTTCTCTAAAAGACTTCTCAGATATGCTACTAGATCTTTACATGTCAATTCTGTGTACGGAGTACGGCGTATTAATAATTGAATGGCCCCTCCCCCCAGCACCCTGCACCCAGGCGAGTCACTCACACCACTTGGTGAGCTGTGTTGTTGGCAAGTCGGATATTCCAGAGACATGGTGCGAACTTTTCCGCGCTCATTTCCCGAGAAAGCTTGGCTAGAATCCAGGAATACAAAGTTACTGGTGACTGAAGGTTCATAAAAGAATATTTAATGCTCAAATTGGCGAAGTTGACAAATTGGCAATGCATGCCATCCACTTAACAACACCACACAAATTAAGATTCTACTCTCAGATAGCATAACATGGTATCGCCCTAACTTATTAATCTGAAATTTACACTCCGTATAAGTCTTTCTTTTATTGAGGATCAAAGTATGATGCCGCTTTTATATAAAACTACCTCTATTGCCTTCTAGGGAGGCACAAGTGTGCTTTGACGCCTTATCTTTACTTCCTGTGTTCAATGTCTCGTGATTTGGCCGTTTTGCATGGGCAGATTGGAATAATACAAATTCAGATCAATGGTGAGCTACAGTGTTCCAGGAGAGCTCCAAGTTAATTAATTCTTCCAGCCATTTAGCCCAGTGGAAAGCCCACACGCTCCAAAAGCGCAAAGATGGGGGATTTCCTGTCATTTATCCGGGTGGTGGTACGCTCAATCGTGACCCATTAGCGTGGTTAAAAGGCAAAACCTGGTTTCGAAGTGTCAATAGCGTTAACAATATGTCGCATCTTGGAGCAAAATTCTTAGAAACGACGGAGGGCCTTTTAGGATTTAGGGACCACCCTATGGATTGTGGATCTGTTTTGACGGAAGGTCTTATAGTATATAGATCAGATATTTGGGTTGCTTTAAAATATTTGTAGGCTTTCAAGAAGTCCCCTTGGAACCGCTGAGTGGGATCCGATTTCCCATTTTCGCTATTTGCAAAGCGATTGAGAGTCGATATTTAATGAAACTGCCACTCTCAAGCTTGGTATAAGTAGGTAGAGATGGTATATAGCTCATGCATGACACCAATTCATACCAATGGAACTCCGCACCCCCTTCAGAACACCGACGATCACCGAAATGACGCCAGACTTTTGCGCTGGTTTCCATCTGCGTCGAAATTTGTAGGATCCAACCACTTCTCGAACGCATTTTTGATTGACGGCCACTCAGAGTCAATGATTGAGAACCATGCACTGTCTCGATTCAACCCTTTGACAATCATATGCTGGCGGAAAATTCCTTCAAATGTAAACCCGAGCCGAATAGCGGCATTCTTTGAGGGAGTGTTAAGATTATTACATTTCCATTCATAGCGCCGGAACCCAAGGTCTTCAAAGACCATTTTCGCCATCAAATAGTAGGCTTCTGTCGCTGCCGTGCTGCGCTGCAGTGTAGGCGAGAGCATGATGCTGCCGATTTCCACGATGCGATTTTTGAGGTCGATGCGCAGCAAGCCCAAGTATCCAACCGCCCGTTGGCTGGCGGGGTCAATGAGCGCTGAGAATACCGAATCCTCGGAGGATATGACGGAATTTATGTAAGTCTCGAGCGAAGCTTTGGACTCAAAAGGCCCAGCCGGCATGTATGTCCAGAGTGAAGCGTTCTCGAGTCCACCGACACACGAGAATAAATCTTCCGCGTGGGCAGCACTCAAGGGTTCAATGGTGATGGATCGGCCTGTCAGGCGTATGCGAGGCGGGTGGAGAGCAGGGCTCTGGCTGAGTTGGTTATGACTCGTTCCTTGACTTTGGGCCATTGTCGAGCGAGTTGCGAGAGAATGGCAGGCTGAACAATGGGCGATTCTTTATGAAGTCACCCGCATACGGCTGCTTTGTGACTCGCGAAATCTCAGGGACATAATGAATGTGAAATAATTTCAAGGGGAGGTGAACCCCCTCGGGATCATCACTGGCGAGCTGAATGGTTTGGACAGTCCTGCGGCCGGAGCCAGTTAACCAAGTAACTAGTTACAAGAAAATCCTCCCCACAAAAGTTCAACCCTGCAACAAGCTTTGACCACATTCCCATTTCCTCGACTCAGCTACGGAGAACACATTCAACGATGAATGGACTCGGGTCTGTCTGTCACGAAAGCAGGAAGTGTGCCATCGTACCCAACGAGGACCGTGTCTCAAAATGACGTGTTAGTCTTTCCGCAATGGAGCCCTCGATCGAAGTTCTAGTCCACATTTCCGCTCCAGGCGACGCAGAAGATGACGCCAACCATCGCGCGCTTGCAAACGCTTTCCTGCATTTCGAACCCGCCACCAAGTTCAGGATATATCCCGATGATTCGGATGGAAGTGATCAACTACATATTCTCACTCAAGCTAGTAATAGCGATCAGGAGAATCGTGGTAGATGCGGTTCTACCGATCGTTCAACACCTCCATGGAAGAGGGGGATAGACGCTGGTTATGAACGAGATGATTCTGTCTTCTATGACGATTTTGAAGAGCGACATTCGTGTGATTTCTACGAGGGTGCAGAGGGTGATACGGAGATTATCCCTTCTCCCACCAAGTTTAACGAGACGGATTCCTTTGAAACTCCGCCAGCGACGGTGCCTGATTCTCAGCCACCTTTTTCACCGACATGGGACGTCCTGAAATATGCCCAAAGGGATGGAGATTCTGGCACGGAATCCCCGGCTGGAGAAATAAGTATCTTGGAGCCGATTGCCGCCACGGAAGAGAAGCCCAGCGAAGTTCCTGTCTCGCAAGGCAACGTTGTCGAATTGGGTTCATTTGAGGTACCTTCAGAATCTGCGTTTGGATCTCAGTTTTCATTCAGATCTATCGGAGACCCTGAGAGAAGTATCAGCCCGGCCATGAGGTCCATTAAACCAGTGCGGATTCGTGAACCACCATCATCTTTAGAGGTAGCGTCTCCGCCAAAACGAACTTGCCTTCCCGAAACTAAAGATGATATCATTTCACTGTTAGAAGAAACTATTCCATCTAGTGAATTGGAAGAAATACTATTCTCGGACAATCCTGGTTCTTCCAGTTTGCCAGAACTGCCGGCGGAGATTCGTCCACCACCTCCGGAAGCATCTAACAAGGCGAAGTTTACAACACATATCACACCACCCCTACATTTGCTATCCGAAAAAATGGGCCTTTCCCGGTTTAAACCAGCCCATCAAACACGTCGACTGGGCATACTCGAGCGGGGATACTGGTACATGCGAATTCCGGTTGTGCTCAATAACGGAGGGAGCACATCGAGCAGGCCTGCTGAAGGCTCGACAGCGTGTGCCCTAACAAGCAATGAGCGTAGAGATCCTGTCCCCTGGTCAACTGGTTTATTTTTACGGTTCTGGAACTATCTTTCAAAATTTGTGGGCCAGTACGGACGAGCAGGCTGGGGAGTTTGGTGCTTCTGTGACTCTGCTAAAGACCAGCCCATAGTCGACTCCGTACAGCCACTGGACGTGAGGGTCTACTCGTGGGGCGAAACCGCTCCGTATATATATTTGTTACTTTTCTTGGCTAGCCATAGAGGGATCAAGAAGATTCCGAACGTGCAGTGGAGAGACGGCAAAGGGGAAGTGGTTATCCAAATGGACTGATAGCCGAGTTGTTTTCATGGCCATGGCCTTCCATTGATCCGCCGGTTATCAGGCCGGGCGATCACCACCTCTTGACTGGCTAGCTGCCTAGAAGTTCGACAGCTGAGACTTGTCTTCGCTCTCTCCAAACCAGCGTCTTCGTGGGGAAATTTAACTTTGCTGTGGTGGATGTCTTCCCCAACTCAAAATCCCCGCAGTTGGCCACACTGCACGGCACGTCAATTTCATCCCCCGCAATTCAGGCACTGGAATGTGCACGTCGATTCTCCAACATCAGTTCTCGACAGCAGTGTCTGTGACATACATATCGAGTAGCGAAGACGCATGTAGAGTACATGCGTCCCTAGATCTCACTACATCATCGCGCGATTCTCGTTCGCGGCATGGGCGAGTGAACAGTGTCCCGATTGGCCACTTTAAACTAAACATGTACCACCCCCACACACAAGCTACACGAGCGCGCTTATCCAAAAGGGCTGTGAACGGCGGGGGGAGTTCCGCCGGGAAAGGCTGGGAGCCAACCTTGTCTTGCCCCAGGGGGAACAGTCTGGAGAAGAAGCTGAGGTGTGTGTCGAGAATCTTGAGCCCCATGGGTCCGGGTGGAGCGGTAGTCGGTGTCGGTTGGGTCGGCTTGAAGGACAGCACAGTGGAGTAACCTGACTCGGTCGTTGAGATCAATAATATTCTTGTACCTCCTGAGAAGTGAGGGGGTTAGTGTGGACCGGACAGACGGACGAGATAGAGCTCCGCTCGACGAGACGCCTGACTACTTCTAGGACTCAACCAGTATCTCTAGGCTCTCGTTCCCGTCCCCGCTCAAGCGTTGGTGGATATTTTACTACTTATACCTACGGCATCGCTCTTCGAAAACACTGTCCCTGCGTAGCTTAACATTGTGTGTTCTGCGTGTGACAACCGTATTCTCTCTTTCCAACGTTAAGTTCTCGCCAGATACCTTTGTATTTCTCGGAACAATGGCTACCGTGTCCTGGCAGCAGAAGGCACAGTCAATTCGCGACTATCGCGATGGCACTCTTGCCAAAGTCGAACCGCCGCTCAAAGATATCCCCGATCCGCTGCCGTTAAATTCCCAAGGTCTTCCGAGGCAGTACCTTACGGAGCGAGAATTCGAGCTTACACAGAATTATGATGCCATCGCGCTCCTGGAGATGCTGCGCACCAAGAAAGTTACATCAGAGGAGCTGACAAGAGCGTTCCTCAGACGGGCGGCGCTGGCACAGAAAGCGGTTCGTACTTTGTCAACTCCAATATCCGGCTCCTGATTACCTTGGTTCAAGTACTGACTCTTTCTGTTTGAGTTCAAATAGGTGAACTGCGTCACAGAACTCATGTGGGATGAAGCCATTGCGCGAGCAAAATATTTGGATTCGCTTAAGGAGCCAGTTGGCCCGCTCCATGGTCTTCCCATCTCGATAAAAGAGCACCACGGCATGAAGGGCAAGAAGGTCCACGCCAACTTCATTGCCTGGGCCGACGATGATTCCGCGGACAACCTTCTCAACAACATTCTTTATGATGCTGGCTGCGTCTTCTACGTTCGGACAACGGGCCCCCAAGCATTGATGCATCTTGAGTGCGAGAGCAGCATCTATGGCCGCACTGTTAACCCCTACAACCGCAACCTTACCTCTGGAGGAAGCAGTGGTGGTGAAGGAGCTCTGGTAGCTTTTGGTGGCAGTGTTTTGGTCAGTAGCAGGTGGACTGATAGAAACCCAGGAACTACATATGCTGACTTAAGCATCAGGGCGTTGGAGGTGATATCGGTGGTAGCGTTCGCAATCCTGCCAGCAATAACGGCGTGTACGGATTCAAGCCTACCTGCAAGCGTCTTCCAGTTGGCGGGATTAAGCTTCCCATGGAGGGCAAGGATGCGATCGCCGCCACATTTGGTCCTCTCTGCCGTTCGCGCGAAACAGTCAATCTATTCATGAAGGTCATCGCTGATGCGGAGCCGTGGCGTTTTGACGCTTCTCTCTCCCCACTGCCCTGGGCATCCGTCACCTTTAACAAACCCCTGAAGATCGCGGTTCAATGGGATGATGGCGTGGTTAAGCCGCACCCACCAGTGCTTCGTGCACTGAGAGAGGTCGCCGAGGCGTGTAAGAAGGCTGGAATGGAGGTGGTCGACTGGGTGTCCTATGACCACAGGAAGGCCTGGGACATCATCTCTGAGCTTTACTGGCCGGACGCAGGAAAAGAAGTTCTTGACCTCTTTAAGTCGACGGGAGAACCAATTCTACCCCTCACAAAATTCATCCTTGAACAACCAAGGGTCAAAGACCACAACATGGCTGAATATTGGAAGGTATGCATATCCGCTCAGTAGCATCATGGGTTTTCCAAAAGGCTGATCACCTCGATTCTTTGCGTAGCTCTGCCTTGAACGCGACAGCTACCGTGATGCGTACGCTGCCCATTGGTCCGCTACCGCAAATTCCCCAACGGGTGAAGTCGATCTGATCCTGTGCCCCACGACTCCCGGCGTCGCTCCTCCACACGAAGCCGCCAGATATTGGTGCTACACCTCTCAATGGAACCTGTTGGACTACCCGGCTGCTGTCTTCCCCGTCACCACTGTTGATTTGGAGAAGGATGTTCGGGAAGAGGGATATGCTCCACGCAACGAGCACGATCGCTTCAACTATGATCTGTACACCGGCCCACAAAGATTCGAGGGTGCCCCGGTGAGCCTTCAGGTCGTTGGGCGGAGGTTCTATGATGAGAAGGTTATGGCCGGATTGGCTGCAATTGAGAAGGCGATGGGAAGGAATTAAATGACATTTTAATGTATACTTATCACTTAACTCTACTTTGATATGATGAGCATTGTACAACTCTTCCTCTTCCTCTCCGTTTTTTGATCTTCTCGATGCTGCACCACGGAAACAAATGCCCCGTTGATGACATGAGAATCTGGTTCATGAACTAACTAACGTTGCACCCCCGAGCGGATCACACCCTGCTTTCAACACGACGACAACAGAGTGGGCAGCAAGTAACTTACTCATCCCTTTGTGGGCCATGTACCTTACAAGAATTATTCAGTCCGTTCCCTGCAAGCCCTGCCCTTTGCCGGCAAAGTTACTCCCAACGGCAGATCTGGTTGAGGAAGAGCACACGCCCCATTATAAGCCTCAGCACTTTTATCCTGTACGTCTTTATGAGATACTCAACAACCGATACCAAATCGCCGCCAAAATAGGCTGGGGAACAAGTTCAACGGTATGGCTAGCACGCGATCTCCACCAGTATGTGAAGATTATCTGATAATATATTCAATCCTTGTCTCACTATGTCATAGGTGGCGATGGCTTCCGCCCCGATATGTGGCCATCAAAGTTAACGCAAACAATTATGTATCTCAACAATCTGCGGAGGAGGAGCTGTGTGTTTCTGAGCATATAACCAAAGCAAACCCCCAGCATCCAGGCCGCAACTTTGTCGCCACCTTGTTAGACTCGTTTCGTGTTGATAGCCCGGGCGGCACTCATATTTGCATGGTCTTCGATGCGCTTTGTGAACCACTATGGATGCTGAACCGTCGTTTCGAAGGAAACACCATCCCTCTCGGCGTCTTGAAACCGGTATCTAAACTCATACTAGAAGGACTGCGGTACCTCCACACCGAATGCCACGTTATTCACACAGGTACCTAGTCATTCAACCGACCCACTCCTATAATCGGTCACAGCTAACGGACAAACAAGATCTCAAGTCCGATAACATCTTACTGGCCCTACGCAACCCATCTATCCTGGACTCGGTCGCGCAAGATGAGATGAACAATCCCTCTCCACGGAAACAACTGGACGGTCGGGACATATACCTATCCCGAAATTACTGGGGACTGTCGCCCGACCAACTGGGTAGATCGGTAATAACTGACTTTGGGCTTGCCGTGCGCGGTGACGGTCCCCCGAACAGCCACCCCATCCAGCCAGAGGGATATCGGGCCCCGGAAGTTTGTCTCGGGGGCGAGTGGAGCTACAGTGCTGACATTTGGAACTTGGGAGCTATGGTAAAGACCTCGTTGTCATAATCATGATCACCACTAATAGTCTTATCAGCTTTGGGACCTGTTCTATGGCCGCGGACCCTTCGACACACCACCGAAATCGCGCGGTTCAGGCTCAGCAGACGAAGCTCATCTAGGCCAGATCATTTCCCTCCTGGGGCCCCCTCCACCTGATCTTCTCCGCCGCGGAAAAGAAATATCTCGGTATTTTGACGCTAAAGGTATGCTAGCTGTGTCCTAAATAGACGCAGCTAACTGATTTGATAGGACAATTCAAATTCCCCGAGCTCATCGGAAAAAAGGACCTGGTGTCTATGGCTAAAGAAATTGACTATGATGACGGAATGCCCCAGTTTGTAGACTTTATTTCTACAATGCTGCGCTGGAGGCCCGAGGACCGGACCACGGCGGAGGACTTGATTTCCCATCCGTGGCTTCCGCAGGCGAGACCTGCGAATGGGTGAGAAGGGGGTTATCTGTACAGTAAATAGATAGATCTTCGCTCGAGGAACCTGACTGTTCAGGCGTTTCTTTCCGTAACACGATCCGATATATAAAACGGCCATGCGTGAGAGCTCCAGCTCTTCTTTTGAGTAAGACTGTCAGTCATGCAGTGACTCGCTAGGAATAGTCGATCCACGCCATCATTCGCGCCCGCGTTTTTTAGAAACTATGACCAGATTCTTTCTCGATCTACACCCACGGGGAGCCCAGGTCTTCGGTCGCAAAACAATGCCTGGTTGTGTGCATCCCCACGATAGTACCTGCGATCCCTGCTCGGCTATATAACCGCCTCTACGCCCCTAGACTCCCAGTAATGGCTGAAAAGAAGTGGCAATGATGCTGCCGCTATAGTAAGATATATATATATGGTTGGCCATGTTCTCAACAAATGCTGGCCGCGGGGGTAGTTCTTGTTTATCCAGATCCAGCACCCATTGGACTAGCTGATTCTCTTCAGGCTCAGTCAATTTATGTGAATTTGTGTGTAAATTCACCCGTGCAGGTCTGTCTTTGAGTCGATAGGCAAGAGTAGAGCATGGCACATCGAATAAGCATGCAGCTTCACGAATTGAGGATATTTCTTCATTTTTAAAAGCAGATATTGCGAGCTCAAGTCTTCCCTCTATCTCTATAGAGTTTCTTGCATTTTTATTGCGAATTGGTGGCATTCTCACGCGTTGAAATGGGCTAATAATTAGAAAATTGAAGATGTTGTGAATTTGGTGATCCGCTCGGTGGTGGATTACGTTATCACGTGGTCGGCTTCTGTCTCGGCTATAGTTACTTTTTCTCAAATCGGCAGTGGATTACGTAACAGAGCCCGTGCTGTTTCAGCTCAGCCAATCAGCAGCGCCACACGGACCGCCACTCGCCCGACTGCCGCGCCAATCACGTGCGCGCTACAGGTCCGCTGCTGGCAAGTCGAAGCTTGTTGCAGGCCGACCTTGCTGCCGACCAGGCCTGCAGCCGTTGGGAACCTACCACTGGCATGGAATTCCATCTGTCTTCTTGCTCGTATCTGGAGATCGATCAACGCCGCCATCAACGGTCTTCAAAGCAGCCCGCCGTGCGCGTACGTAAGCAGAAAGTTTCACCTTCAACCGCAGATCGTGTGCGTTCGGCTTCGGCATTCCCGAGTTTTGACCTTCAATCGCGCCGAAGCCCTTTTTCGAAAACGCCTCCCCCCCTTCTTTGTCTGAGCCAACAGCGACCCATCAATTACGAGGTTTAAAGGCCGTCTGCAGCCTTCTCAAAAAGCTTAGACCCTTTTTCTCGCTCTGTTGAGGATAGTATACGAGTCGATCTGGAATGGAGCCGTCGGGGACCAACCAGGGGATAATGGCTGGGCAATCGGGGGTTCCAGTCACGCAGACGTTTTCGAGTAATGTTGGCAGTGCACCAGGTAGGTCGACGAAAACATTAATTCCATTATCTTTCATCGTCTTTTGTCACTTGCCCTTAGTTCTCCCATTTTTTTGAACGAGCAGTAGGTACCAATTCATTGGGCTTGGTTCCGGATTCGTTTGGCAATGTGCCTTTGTACAGACAAGGCAGCTTGACTCCGCCTATGCCAATCACCCACGCCCCTATCAGCTCCCAATTGCATTTGAGCTATATCTTCGGCTTTATCCTTGGCTATCATTGATTTGTTGTACTTTTTTTGCCCCTGCATGGTATGTCATTGGCCGATGCTTACTTCTATCGCGCCGTCTTCCATCAATGAGGAGCCCCGATCAGGTGTAAGGTGCATCCCCCGCCTTACAATGGCACCTGATTAGCGGCTTTTTCATTGGAAGGAAGAACCTGCGCGAGTGGCATATTCTTCTAGGCGACATGACAGCCCCGGTGAGCGCGGAATCGTCGTTTATTTCAATGCCTTTCCTCAAGGCGCTTGGCGGAGGACTTCAGAAGAAAACGAGAGGTATGGGATGTTATTTCGATGACCCTCTTCGTTTCGGCTGAGGCTCATACGTGCCGATAGACGGGCAGCCTCCAAAACGGCGAGGCCCGAAGCCGGATAGCAAGCCAGCTCAGACTCGACGCCAGGAATTGAATCGACAGGCCCAGAGGTATCCCTCTCGAACTTAGCCCAAAGGCCCACGTAGTATTAACTCCTTCCTGCAGAACCCACCGAGAAAGAAAGGAACAATATATCCGGGCCTTGGAGATTGAGATTTCGCGCCTCCGGGAAGGTTATGCGAACGATATAAATTCGGCCAACATGTCTCTCCACCAGCAAAGACAAACCCTAGAAAGCCAAAAGGAAGAGAATAGGATCCTGAGGGAGATTCTGCTCTCGCATGGTTTCAATGTTGATGCTGAGCTGGAGCAGCGTAGAGGCATGACCCGGGCCGGGAGTCAACGGAGTTACCAAGAGAGCAGCGCCCAGTCGCACTCTGCTGGTTACCCAAGTGGGACCCACTACATGACTCCGGATACGACTGTCTCAGCGGGTAGAAGTCCGGGTGCCCCGGGATCGGATTTTGCAGATGCGCAGCCTACCTCTTCGCCGTATTCATACCAAGGGCCGAAGACCCAGAAGAGCTGCCAGCCAGCAATATCGAGCGAAATAAGTATCCCGAGTGGCGACAACTCCACCGTTGCCGATATTCCCGGCATATTTGACCGCGATCCGCAATTGGGGATCGATTTTATCCTCACGTAAGCCTTTTATCCCCCCATAAAGCACACATTCCCCACCTAACGATTGATAATAGACTCGAAGGACAATGCAGAGATCACATAGAGCGGCTATGCCGGCGTGCTCATGATGCAGAGGACCAGGACATGGTCGCCGGCCATATTCTAATGGCGACATGCCCGCCGCCCTCGGTGGTTGCGAGTGCCAGTAGAGGCTATGAATACCCGGTGAAAACATATGATCTTCCGCCAGCTAATCTTAACACCCTGCTTAATCTCAGCCGACAACTCGTAACGGACAACGAAATTACCCCAATCATGGCACTACAATCACTGAAAAACCACGAAATGTATCATCTATTAACGAAAGATGATATAAGACGAGTTATGGATGACCTTGTAGCCAAGGTCCGCTGCTATGGATTTGGTGCTGTTCTCGAAGAATTCGAGTTTAGAGATTCACTGAATAGTGTGCTGGGGAGCAAAATGGAACCAGCGATAATGCAAGCGGAGGGATACTTAGCCTTCCGCCCCGCCCATGTGGCGGAGGACTATACGATGTATTCATGATTTCCCGAACCCGTCCTTTTTCTCCTTGTTTCACTTGTCTTAATTATGATTTTGGGCAATCTGTATATACGTATTGATACCATTTTTGTTACATATGATTTGAGTAGCGGTTTTAGGAACAAGCTATGGTTTACTATGGTGTGCTATCTAGATGACACCCAATCTTCAGAAATCTGTTGCCCAATTGTTTGATATCTGTGCTTGATACTCATCGTTGCTCGATGCTTGTAGCGAGCGCCGCCAAACGCCAAGCTTTCTTACATAACCAATACAGACGACAATGCAAACAGTGCAACCGTGCCAAGATTTTACACCCACATGGAAATTCAACATCTGAATTCAGCTCGAAAACTCATAATTGCACTCCATCGCTCTCTAAAGCAAAACCCTCCGCAGCGCCGTGTCAAGGTGAAATATTGAATAAATTGTGCCCAGTGGGTCTACACAGTTCGATATGGCACCACTTTCTCTCACGGACATTGTGTCTGCTCTCCCGTCGGAGGAGGATGCTTGGGGTCCCCCAGTCCCAACTGGCAACACCCTTGACGGTGTTCCGTATGCCCCATTCTCAAAAGGCGACAAACTAGGCCGCATGGCCGATTGGGGGGCCGATTCTAAGGATTCCCGCGAAAGAGGAAGACAAGCATATAACCGGAACTATAGAGGTACGACCTTCTCATTGCATACTTAAAAACGTGGGGAAAATTAGGTCTCTAACTCTTACTTTTTTTCAATTTTTTTTTTTTTAAGATCAGCAAGTCTACGGCGCAGGAACTAGCAGCCTTTTCGCAGTCCAGGTTGCCGAGGATGAATCTTCTTTCTCTGTTGTTGACAATACTAGAACTTCTGTGAAGACTCGCGGCTTCGGGCGTGGTGGAGGTACCATCTTCCGAGGCCGTGGCCAACGAAGTGGTGCTCAGCGAGGACGTGGAGGGGCGTTCCAGAGACCCGCTGGGGGTCGTGGTGGACAGGCTGGCGGTGACAGATATTATGACCAGCGTGGCGGGCGTGGCAATCGCGGTCGCCGCTTTGGCTGGAAGGACTACGATAAGCCACAGAGAAACCGTGACAGCTCAGTCGCGATCCGCCCAGAGTGGTCTATGTTGGAGGAGATTGATTTTTCGCGACTTTCGAAGTTGAACTTGGAGACTCCCGATGGCGAAGATCTGGACAACTACGGTTTCCTTTACTACTATGATCGCTCGTACGACAAGGCTCCTGTGAAGAATACTGAACGCAGACTGCGAGCTTTGGAGCGCGCTGCGTACAATGTTACCACCAGCGCTGACCCCGTTATCCAAGAGTTGGCTGAAAAGGACGAGGCCACTGTTTTCGCTACCGCCGATATCCTGTCCATGCTCATGTGCGCTTCTCGTAGCGTCTATTCCTGGGATATCGTCATCGTCAAGCACGGGAACAAGATCTACTTCGACAAGCGTGACAACGCTTCGATCGACTTAGTCACTGTCAACGAGAATGCCGCAGACGCCCCTATGGAAGCCTCGGAGGGCCAGGCCAAGCACGACTCGATCAACACCCCGGGGGCTCTTGCTCTCGAGGCAACCATCATCAACCACAATTTTGCCCTCCAGACTGTTGTGGAATCCGACAGCGCCAAAGTAGAATTCTCTCACCCCAACCCATTCTACAATCCCTCCGAGGAAACCGAACCTCTCGCCTCCAAGGGCTTCAAATACCGCCGGTTCGACCTCTCTCTTGAAAAGGACGAGGAGCCCGTTCAGATCATCGTCCGTACTGAAATCGATGCCGTTCTGAAGAACAACATCAGCGGAGAAGATCAACATGTGACTCTCAAGGCTCTCAATGAATTCGACCACAAAGCCCAGGGCGCTGGTGGAGCCCTGGACTGGCGCTCTAAACTGTACTCTCAGCGTGGTGCGGTAGTGGCCACCGAAATGAAGAACAACAACGTCAAGCTCGCCCGCTGGACCACTCAGGCCATCCTCGCCAAGTCCGACGTCATGAAGCTTGGTTTCGTGACTCGCGCTAACCCACGCTCCGCAGCCGCACACATTATTCTCGGTGTCATTGGATATAAGCCTCGCGAATTCGCTTTACAGATGAACTTGAATATGGCGAATGGATGGGGTATCGTACGGACGATCATCGATCTGGTGAACAGCCTTGATGCCCGTGACGAAGAAGAGGGTGACGACGCCCAAGAGGACAAGATTAAGAAGTACATCTTGGTCAAGGATCCCAATAAATCTGTTGTTCGCCTGTACAGTGTTCCTGCCAACACTTTCGAGGAGGAAGATGACACGGGTGCAAAGGCAGAAAAGGATGAGGAGAGTGAGGAGAAAGACGAGGAGTAATGTTCTGTTACATGACTGTATGACGTCTAATTTGATGAACTTAGTTGATCGATAGATTGGATCCAAGTTTTACTTTTTCCCTCTCAATATATTCCCGTCAGCAGGGACGGACAAAAATACTATCGCCCACGCTTTTCTGATCTATTTTGGGCTCAAGAAAATGGAGCTAAAAATTGCTTGCTCTTCGCTGATATAAAATGAAGTTGCCCTTTTTGAGTCGGGTTTTCGTAAAGTGCCCCTGAGGACGACTCGTGACTTCAAGGTATCAAATTCAACGGATAGATGTATGCGATATAACACTCACTTAAAATCAAATCTGCATTATCAGGTCGTATCGTCATCATTTCATTTCATTATGTCATTACATATCCACGGTAGAAAAGGACCAAAAAGAAAAGAGAGAGAAAGCAAAAAAGCAAAAATAAAAGGCTCAGTCACTCCAAGCCCAGTCAGCTCCAGCACCCCCAGGTAGTGACTTTTTAGCACCCCATTGCTCCTGCAAGCAGATTAAAACTAGCTATAATCTCCTCTTCGTTGCCGGTGCAGCCCGTACAAAACACACTCTGTAGCTTAGTGACATATACGCAGTACAGTGTTAGTGTACAGTACAACGGCAAGTAACAAAAGAAGCATAGGCAGACAGACAAAAGAAAAAGGTACACATAACCCAAAGCGGTAAAACCCCTGGCTCGCCGAACTCATTGGGATAGATTCGATGGAGAGGAAGGAAATGTAGCAATTGTGACTTATACAAGAGGGAAAGAAAGCAAGGAGGAAGAAATTGGGAAGAGAAGAAAAGGAGAAAAAAAGAAGAGAAAAGAGATGGAATAATAGAACACTAGATAAAGCGGAGTAGAATGATCCGGATCCTAGCAAAATATTGTGTCGCTCCCAGAACCCAGATGCCCGTGAGAAAAAGAAAAAAAAAGAAAGGCTAAATAAAGAAAATTAACGGAGAAGACATGCAAAAGATTTGAGGGGAAACAGTTTGGCGAACGATGGATTAGGGCTAGACGTTCATTTCGTTAAGTTTTAACGGCCATCTCGCCTAATCCATCCCACTACACGATCAAACGTATGAGTTTTCTGCTTATCGGACGCTTGCGGAGTTGGTTCGCCATCATCGCCTTCGCGAGCTTCGAGATAAGGTCTTCCAGAAAGGGCGGCTTTAGGAGTCGTATCCATATCCTCGATTGTGTTCGAACGATAGGCTTCTGGTGTTAGTGATGTAGGTCCGCACGCAGTTCCCGGTGGAGTGGAGCTTTCTTGATGGCTTTCAGGCTTCGATGACGTGCCAATATGCGACGCCGATGACTGATCTGTATCATGTAGCGTGGCCGACGCCTGAAGACCTGGGAATTTGGTCGGAATTATCGGTTCAGCAATTGTTGCCTCTGCCTGGTCTTCCGATAGTGTTGAGGTATCCCCCGGATTCCCTCGACCAGCTGCATCATCCGGTGGGGTGCACGATCCCTCTTTCTCTGGTACCTCAGGCAATGCGTCCAAAACTTCTTCTCCAACATGTAACTGCTCCATGGCAGCTTGCAAAGAGGTCGTGGCAGTAGTATCTTTACCGGAAGTAATGGATTCCATGAGATCAGTCTCACGCTCTTTTGAGAGATCATCCCCAGCACTCACGACACTTCCACGGCTGTTCGTTCTGAGCATTTCGGTTCCCAGTTTCGATCCGGATCGTCGCTGCTTCCCAGTGGTAGCTTGTGGGCTACGGTTGCTTCGTCCATGTACGCGACCTAGCTCCTCATCTTCATCGTCACCTGACTCGGCACCTTCGTACCGTTTAATCTCCATGGACTCACGTTTGGCCCGAATACATTCGATAGACCTAGGTTTTCGAAGGGAGGGCCCACCAGCGAAATGGAAAGATGCAGGGGCAGACGTCGCCGTAAGCAAACTTGGCACACTCGGCGGGCTTCTAGCTTCTAACAAGCCGGTCTTGAGCATTGAAGACGGTTCCTCCATGATACCGAGCCCGCCAGTTTGGCCGCTGCTCCATTCGCCGGTAGCTTGGCGGCTAATAATAACAGGAATATCATCTGATTTTTGAGGCTCCATTTCGCCAAAATAGCTACTGCTAAGTGACTCCTCCCGGCTGGAACCTCGGTATGAGCTAGTGGGAATTGCTGCAAAACCTGAAGAAACTGAGCTTGGGCTGTCTTCGGTACGAAGCGAGACATGACGAAGTGCAGATGCAGGGATTGGTGGCTGCTGGGCTAACTCTTCGTCATTCGGTGGTGGTTTCCATTGACAGAACTTGGACAAAACGTCCACGAGTTTCTCGAGAGTAGGAGGTTTTTCAACCAGAGCATCGAAATGATGCGTTTCAGGAAGATCCTTTAAGTAGCCAGTGACGGCAATAATAGGTGTGTGAGTATTGGCGCTTCGAGTATCTCTGACCATGCGAGATACGTCTGCTCCATTGATCTGAGGCAGCTTGAATTCAGTCATGATGATATCGAATTGCACCTCACTAAAGGCAAAGCGCATTGCCTCTGTTCCATTCACCGCAGTGATGGTCCTGCAACGCAGCTTTTCAAAGAGTCGTTCCATGACAAGTCTAGAGACAGGATGATCCTCGCAGATAAGAACATCAAGGGGACGGAAGAAGGGTCCGTCAGCAAAATTGATCTGGGAAAGCCGTCGAGAACTTTGCCTGCGACGCTGTACCTTAAGAAGTGCTTTTGCTCGAGGATCTTCATTGTCAGAGGAAGATGGTGACACGTCGAAAAGTTGACTTCTACGTTTATGATGTCCAGGAACAAATGGCTCCTTGGGTGGCGCCAAGTCACTATCTTGGGAACCGATTGTCTGGGAGCGTTGTCGCGAGGTGGGGGCACTACTTTGACGATGGATTCCGGTCTGTTTATCTGGCGATGGAAGTTTCGGATGCTTTATAGGAGAGGATGCAGTCGATGCCGACATCTTTAGGTTTGTAGCAAGTCGCGGAGGCTCAAAGGGACCAGGCTGCATGGAAGTCGCAATGGACTGTTGCGAAAACGTGGAAGATGAGCCGGAAGTCTTTCGTCGTTCGTGGTGATGATGCTGTCCCGTGCTAAATTGCACCAAAAGTGGAGACGATGGCTGAGATGGACGGCTTGGAGAAGAGGAGTTGGCCTGACTAAGACTCGATGGCGATGCCGGCCTATTGATGGCTTTATTCTGAGACATAGTGCGCTTCAGCGGGCCGACGAGCATTGGGCTTCCTTCCAGGGAAGGCCCAGATGCTGTCGACGGCGTTGTTGTTGATGGCACAGAACGCTGCTGAGCTTGCATAGCTTCTTGTCGTAATTTTTGGATCACGTCCTTATTGGCTTTCTCTAAGACAGGAAGATTTTTAAAATTGAAATTTCCGAAATCATCCGCAAGGACAGGTTCAGAGAGCCTTCGACTTCGGCCATCGCGGATATGCGGCGGAATGTGAAGCGGAATCAACCCACGTTTTAAAGAGCTTACTTGGGATTTGACTTTGAATAGTGCATCATGAGGTCTGTCCGGGTATACACCAGAGCCTCCAGGTGGGGGAGAAACTTGGTCATCAGGTTCTTCTGTAAAACCTTGCATTGTAGCTCCTCGTGGATCGAAGTATTCCGTATCTTCTGGATGCAAAACAGTCGGCACAAAAGACCCGTCATCTTCCAAGAGCGTATCCCAATTAAGCCCCGAAAACCAAGGATGGCCGCGAATTTCGGCACCTCCACTCGGAAACTTCTCAGCGGAATTCGATCCCAACCGTTTTTCGGGATTAAGGGTCATGAGCTTGTTCATCAAATCTCTAGATTCCTCAGATGAGTATTCTTCAAATCCTTCAGGCCAGTTGATCCTCCTCGCCAAAATATTTTGAAACACTTCGTCGGCTGTTGAAGCGTTAAAAGGGGGGTATCCGTAAATGAATTCGAAGAGAATACAGCCCAAAGACCACCAGTCACACATCTCGTCTTGGCAAACACCCTGGATAGTTTCTGGGGCGAGGTAGTCTGGAGTCCCAACGAAAGCTTGGTTCTGTTCCTCGGGGTTAAACAAAGCCATAGCAGGAGGAATCGGTGGCTGTTGAGCATTATTATGTAGAACAGGAAATGATGGCTGGTAGCTACTTGATAGATGAGCCGGGAAAAGCTGGGGTGAATCACTCGCTTCACTCTGGGATTCCTCCTCAACTGACAATGTCTGTTGAGGTTGGGAGGTCTGGCTTGACAAGGCGTACGGGGTATCTCCAGACTCAAACAGATGCAGGCTCTTAAAAGAGGCAGCCAGAGTATCGCTACTTCCGCTGTCACTTCGATACCTAGATGCCCTTCTTGAACGCTCCCGACTGAAGGACGGTTCCTTGTTAAGACTGAAGTAAGAGGGTTGGCATGGGCTTGCAAAATCAGGGTTAATCAAGGGAGTCGTGTTGGGAGATTGTGACCCAGGAATATCAAAAGACGCTGATCGCGATGATGCCAAAGACGTATTTCGAGTAAACGGGCCTTGCTTGAGCAAATCTGGCGCTGATTCATTGGGGTTTTTCTGGATTCTCTTTTGGCGCCCGACGAGCCCCATACGCGAGAGTCCGAAATCGGTGAGCTTCAAGTGGCCGCGTGCGTCGATAAGAAGGTTATCCGGTTTCAGGTCTCGATGAACAATGCCCCGGCTATGCAAATGTTCGACTCCAAGGATGACCTCAGCGGTATACCTCATAGCCCATTCCTCAGGCAGCCCCTCTAATTGCTTGATCAACGTTGCACAATCACCTCCGTTGAGGTATTCCATCACAAGGTAGAGATAATCTTTACTCGCAAAGGTCCAGTATAGTTTTGCCACAAAGTCGCTTTCTCCTTGCCACATCATGATAGCCCTCTCAGCTTTCACGTTCGTAACCTGATTCTTAGCGACCATGTCAGCCTTCTTCAAGACCTTGATGGCGAAATACTCCTGTGTTGTTTTCTTTTTAGATAGATAGACACTTCCAAAGGCACCTTTGCTAATAGGTTTGATGATTTCAAAGTCCTTGATAGACGGCGTCACAGCACGTGGTGGCGGGTGACTGACAGAACTGAGATGGGGTGATACAGGGGCCTTTCCCAATTCTGGGGAATTGGTAGACGACTGTCTCCGATGATGGTGGCGATGTGGAGGGACATAGAACGAAGCATTGTGAGGACCAAGGTCGACAGATGTGAGGACTGGGGAGGTAGCTGGTGACGGCAAAACTTCTCCTGTGGAAAGTCGTGGTCTATTCAACCTGAGAGGCGATGAGGGAGCATTTCTTGCCGGAGATTCTCTGCGGGGAGAGCTTGACAACCCGGGGAGGACGAGACTTCGACGCTTGTGCTCCCTGACGCTTGCCCCACGGCTTAGACCTCTCTCGGACGACGGAGACTCGGTGTGACGTTCACCGGACAGCACGGATGAGACGACACTACTATCGCTATCTGCAACATCGCCTTCGGCAAGAAGCGAACCACGTTTTGCCAGGAGGGACTGTCCCAATATACCGACACTTTTATGGGAGCGAGGTGTTGGACACTCCATCGGACTGCTAGAACGCGTTGAAATAGCCACAGATGATGAACCTCGAGATATCTCAGGTCTCGAATTGTGCTCAACTGCAACATCTGATGCACCACCGCTCGTGGAGGCTAATGCTAATGATAGCGACTCTTGAGACTGGGGCTGAGACAAGCTCTCAGACTTTTCCGTCTCATTCTCATAATCAGTCGGGCTGGAACTAGTTGAGTCATCCAAATCCCCAGCTGCTATACGTTCTGCTTTATCCATGGCTGCAGAGATACACTCCTCCACAAGAACGGCGAACTCAACACGGATTCGCTCTGCGTATTCAATGATTCTTCGGTGACGAAAGACGGCGTCTACTTTAGCTCGTGCGAGCTGTTCGGTGTCTGTAGACAAGGCGGCTAAGCCTTGCTCCTGTTCTAGGGTATTACTACTTGGTGACTGCCACTGCATCACTTGCGATATACGGGACTCTGACTGTGGTGACTGTGTCCTGACTTCATCGCCGAATTCGGATCTAGACTCTTTCAAAGCAGGGATGCTGATCTCCAAAGCAGTATCACAAAGATCCAAAACTAGCTCGACGATCCGCGCAAGCGGCCTTCGTACGGCGAAGGAGGAACGAGTTCGAGAATGACCCAAGCCGGAAGTGGATGGATCACGCGAACGGGGCGGCGTTCCGGAAGAGGATGACGAGCCAGAGGCCAAACCTGAAGATGAGGGGCTAGGGCCGATGGGTAGACCTTTATATTCAGGTTGAGGGCCGGCAAGTTCTGCGGGTCCAGGTCTTGCCTTCCGAGCTTCAAGGGCATCCAACACCTTTACAATGGAGTGGCGATGTTCGTTCAAATTATCTTGAGCCAATTGAACGTCCATCTCTGATCGATGTTCTTGCAGACACAGGTCGGAGTGCTTTTCGAACCACCACGGTGTAATCTGCCGTTCACAAATGCGACAGAGAACTGGCATTGGTGGGGGATGATGTGCGGGATCATTAATGCCCACCTCCGCCAGTTCAGTGAGGTAATTTGCCAAAACTTCGGCACCCACACCAAGTGATTCAACAAGCAGTTGTGGAAGGCCAATGGTAACTTCACGCGGCTGACTTGATGGTCGTAACATCCACATTGTCTAAAGTAGGAGAGCTGTTAGCGGCTGTAAAACAGGAAAAGGGATTTTGGGGTGGTCAGGTATCTCCTTACATGGCCATCTCCTGTGGAAGGCTTGTCATAGACCATAATACCCTGACCTTCCAGGTTGAGGACGCTGTTATCTTCGTCATCTTTTGGTTGAGTTTCTGCCGACTCGCTCTCCTCATCGTCGTCACCAGCTTCTCGTGCCCGATCCGGACGAAAAACAGAAGCAGAACCGGTTTTGACACCGAATCGAACTATCTGACTCCTCGAATCATCCTTCTTCATCGACTCAATCGCATCTTCAAAGACGGCCTTATTATCGAAGATGACATCACGGATGTTTTTACCTTCCACCTCGTCGATCGGGGTTCCGATGACTTCAACCCAAGAAGGGCTGACCCAATTTACTCGTCCATCGAGAGCGAGGTCAAGTATAATATTAAGGGCTTGTTCGGCGGCATCTTGTAAATCCTGTCGTTCTTCCTTTATATCCTCGCTCAGAGAGCGCACCATCGGAGAAGGGCCGGGAGGGGATGCATCACGGGCTTCTTGTTTAAGGGCTGTGATGGTAGGAGGTTCGAGGAATCGCGGCGCACTGGAGGTATTCGTACCATCTTCGGCCATACTGGGCCCTTCTGAGTATCGAGAACTGGTTGGGAATTCGAGTACGGCAAGAGAGGCGGCTGAAGGATGGAGTAACCGATTTGACAGCGTACGCAGTTCGGAAATCAGCAGAGGAGGGCTTCAGGGATGACGGAGAGACAGAAACCGTCTGCCAGGCAGAGCGGTGCCCGTACCAGCGAATTACCTTGGCCGCTCAGCATCAACTGTCCATGACTTGTGTGAAGTTGGCTCGACCCAAAGGCAGATCCTCGAAGCGGTGGGGAGGGGATGGCGAGCGAAATCCGGCAGTTTGCGAAATGCAATCGGCGTCAAAGATGAGGTGCGATCTGAAGAACAGGGAATTTCAAGTGGGGTAGATTGTATAGCTGTCGTCTGGTGTAGCTTTTAAATACGGCTTGAGGTGGTTCTTTGGTGAATTCAATTTGAAGTCAAAGGCTTGGGGGAAGAGGCCAACCTTTATTTCTAAAAAGGGCAGCAAGGTGTTAACATGAAGGCAATTATCGAGTTGCCGGCAAAGGCCAAGGCCAAATAACAAGGGGTACTGATTGTATTCTTTCTCCAGGAACCATTCGACCTCACAGGATAAAAGACAGCCGTTGAAGGTGAAGGGCGTGGAAGGGAAAGTCAACGTCCAAAAGGCTGTATGGGGGGAGCGATGGTTGATAATTGGAGAACCAACCTCGCCGTGTCCGCGTGCTCGCTGTGAAATTTTGGGAAATGGCAGAACAGCATGCTTGTAACTTTGGTTGACTATTCCACCAATCAAGTAGCAAGGATTCCCCAGCAGTGTTCAACACATACATCGGCGGTGTGTATTCTTTGCATTGCCTGACATGGCGTTTCCAAGAGGGGCTCGACCAAATCACCATCCCTGACATCAGGGAAAGCCAAAAAAAAAAAAGCATAAGCCCACAACCCGGGACAAGAAGATGAAAGTTCCCTCTGGCAGGCAAAGGGAACACATAAAACTAACCAACTTAACTCATAAGTAAATACGAAACATTTGTTTTACCTCTGTCCTTCCTTTCTTCCTCCTTTCGCGAAAATTCTGGACTACGCACCCATTTCCACGCCAAACGGGAGGCAACACCCTAAAACTAAACCAACACAAAGAGTCAATGAGTCAGATGCTCTCTGCTTGCCCTGAGTTTAAAAATGTTGCTTTGAACTTCGACATCGACAGGACAGTACCGGCCGGAAGACTGGCTCCAGGCAGAGACCCTCCGTGCTCCCCCATCCATCCATCCATCCATGTCCAGTGCAGGAATTGGCTGCGTCTGTTCGTCCGTCCTTTCGACGTCGACGCAACGGTGATTTGCCGGACCCAGCGTGACTAAGCTGCCAAGCCGCCAAGACGATCTGTTCCGTTGTTTCACGGGCGCGGACCCACCCCTGGCCCGTCGACGGCTCGGCCACACGATAGTCCGGTGCCAAATTAGTCAGCCGCGCCCTGCCTTGGCTCGCTTTTCTTCGTGCTTTGATGGACGGGATTGCATTCGCGGAATTCTGTCGGAGTGACGGAGTACCGGAGTATTCACCTGCATTTTTCTCGGGTTTTGTGTTGGGTTCTGATGTTGCAGTGCGCTGCACTCCGTACTGGCAGATTCCAATCGGAACACATGGAGAACAGCTTCTACATCGACGGACTCATCCAACAGATTTTGCTGCCCACCTGCATATGGTTGGTTTCATGTAGTTACGGAGTATCGAGCCACATAATATTAAAGGTTGGCTATGCATTATAATTAAATATTGTCCTCTAAAAATTTAAAGTGGAGTAAACAGTCATCTGGCGAGTGCTGCCTCAGGCTCGCTAGCCCCCCCGCATCCGGCCTAGCGCCGCCCGTGTCGGGTCTAGCGTGGTCTGATCAGGTTTGGCGCCGCTGCTTTGGGTATGGTCTGGCCGCCCTCACCACCCTAACATCCAGCCAGCCCACGTGCCTTGCCTCACCGCGACTACAAAAGGGACATCTGTCCTTCTCCCACCACACACACACTCCATCTTCCTTTCTCTCTTGCTTCTCTCCTCACGTGACTCTATCCATCTGTTCTTCTCATGTTCTCCCCTGCACCTCAACCCACACCAACTTCCCTGGTGCGCCCCATCGGTTTCAGCTTGCTTCACAACACACACCATCCATCACATCTGCTGGTCCTTCTGGCCCAGTAATGATGCCCTCAATCATGGCAGATTCTGCCTCTGCAAGCACACTGTTTCTATGCTTCCCTTTGGGGTTGTCTGAGTGAATGTCTATGCTACTGTTACAAACATAGGCCAACCAAGCATCAGACGACATCGGATGTTCAAGGGGATCTCACGTGACCCATAACTCTGAATGTATAAGGATCACATGATTCACACAGATTGTGGGAACCTTAGTGTTCAGGCTTCTAGTTAGAGAACTCTCTATGTTCTATACATGACTCCCTCTCACCAGCTGTGGGCATCAGACCTACTCAGCCTGTGCTGAGCAGCAGTGCTACACACACTCTCTGTCCTGTATGGAATAGAGAATAGTATAATCATACTATATAGGCATCTAGCTATCTACAGAACCTATATTTGCCTGCTCTACAGGATTTTCTCTGAGATCCCCAGCCACTGACCTAAGCTATCACAAATGGTTGTCTGGTGAATGCACTCTGATACTGCTGTTCCAGCCATACAGTGCTGTCTGAAAGACCTCTGTAATAAAGAACTCTCACTGGTCCAACTGGCTGACTCAGCACCAATCTCTGTACCAGCTAGTATGCAACCACCAAGATAACCATACAACACCAGCCCCAGAAAACTGGTTATTATGGTGGCCTTGCTGACTAACCCCCCAATCTAACTAGCGGTTACATGGGGCCCGGGTAGTAACCCGCCGCAACCTGCCACCCCGCTTAACTCGCCTATTGTACACGTAGTATCACGTGGTGGGGGTAGCAGTATTACCTAACAGAATTCAGTGTGGGAACATCTTGGGCACTCATTCCGAAACTTAGTCCTAAACAACACCATCGAACATCCAATGCACCACTCATCTCCGGCCAGCAGCGACATAAAGCTAGCTTTCTCCCCCGCCAATCAACATGGCCTGTTCAAGGCAAGCCGCCCAAACGGATATGAGGCAACAGTTTGTACAAAAAGATCAAGGTGCGTCTCGATTACCCTCAATTAAATACCCACCGCTAAATTGTCAGAAGGGAAACATCATCAAAGTGTTTGCAAAACGAGAACGCAGAAAGGCCTTCGAAAAAGTGCACGCCTAAACCCGGAGTGCAGCAACCATAGTGAGCACAAACACTCTCTTCCTGTGAACAAGACTATGCCGGGAAGTATGTCAACCCACTTCACAATAAATGTAAGCTTAAGCTGACTTCTGTAGGGCCAGCTGACTGCTCGACAACTCAAGAGTCGAAAGCGGTCGCGTGAAGTCGGAACCGACAACACGCCAACTGACCACCTCCGGAAGCGACCACGGATATTTCCAAGCCTTACCGCAAAGAGACCGGGTGACCAAGGAGCACCATCCCGCAACAGGAACGCCCTATTTGATCCCATTGAGCATTGGCGGAGGGAACAAGCTTGGCCAAAGGAATATTTTGAACCGGACTGTGAAATGAGTCATCTACTTGCGAGGAAGAAGTCGGCATCTTCCCTTCGCCGCAAACGATCAGGGCTGAGCTCTCTTAAGGCTACCTCCAATACACCAAGCGACCAAAAGCCGAGGGAGGAGAAAAGTGCGCCATACCAAGATCCACGTTATTCGATTCTTCTTGAAACGAAGGGCAGTTATATGGACAAATCCGAACTGGATATCACAGATGCCAGCAAACGCCTCTGCAGAACATTGCTCGAGAAGGAACAGACTGTCCCGAAAGACTCATTGTTTCATGATGATACGTTTGATAAGGCCTGCCGAAAATTGCAAGATAAAAACGAAGCTAGGGTCATTCAAGATATTTCTCGACTGATTGTTCCTTCTGCAGAGAAATGTGCTACATTTGGTGCCAAAACCTTGGACGTTTTAGTCGAAAGCGTCAATGAAGGCTGGAATAACTCCATCCCCGTTGTTGGCCCTCGTCCGCAGCCTGACTATGCTGTGGGATTTAGGCGCGCTGCATTCACGGAAGATCAACTTTCGAAGATCAAGCCCATTTTAGGTGACGTCATGGACCTGTCTTTCTTCATGGCCACATACTACATGTATTTTCCATTCCTAACATGTGAAGTGAAATGTGGTGCTGCAGCACTTGATGTGGCGGACCGACAGAATGCTCACAGCATGACCCTTTCGGTCAGGGCAATTGTGGAGCTCTTTCGGCTTGTAAAGCGAGAACAAGAGCTCCACCGGCAAATTCTGGCATTCTCCATCTCCCACGACCATCGAACAGTAAGAATCTATGGCCATTACCCTGTGATGAAGGGTAAAGAGACTACCTTCTATCGCCACCCTATCCGCACTTTCGACTTCACTGAACTAGATGGCAAAGAGGAATGGACAGCATATAAGTTCACCAAGAATGTCTATGACATATGGATGCCAATGCACTTTGATAGGATCTGCTCGGCCATTGACCAGTTACCGCCCGATTTCGATTTTGAGGTCCCGCCGCTTCTACAATCTGGACTTTCGCAAGATCTAGAGAGTCATCATCTCTCGCGACTGGAGCAAGAATCTTTATCGGAGGAGTGTGGCAGCCAGTTGGACAATGTTGATCCAGCTGATATCCCGGACACCTCTTTTAGTGGACAAGGAGCAAAAAGATTCAGAAGAAATGCTGCGAAATAACAAGAGCGGATTGTCTACTGGACAGGAGGAGTCGAGAATTGGCCGGAGAGAGAAGGGTCATTAGGTGAATTTCCACTGGTCGCTAACCTCCCTCTGTATGAACATGATCCCATGTCAGCCCGAGACACATGCCTGTCAGCCTTGATCACCGCGCCCGCCATCAGTGATGCAGAATTCCCACGTCCCTCTCATAGTCTGTGTTCTGGTAGCCTAACGGACTCCGTTCGCTGCGTCGAGTGAATTGTTGGCTTTAGTTGTACGTCAGCGCCTGTTTGCTAGTGGCTTGTTACGGTCATATACACCTTAACGATTCCAGAAAACAGTGTAGCGAATAACGCCGCACTGTGGGCATTTGATTCTGGTTCCAGTCTCGAGATTGGTATACATGGGAGGGTCCGCACAGAATTCCTGAGGTTGGCCCTGCAAGACAAGTTGCTTCTTAGGCTCACACATTGCAAGGGACACAAAATAATGTCTTCACTGTCCGTTGCCCAACTGTAATCCTTGGTTGGGTTCCAACCCAGCACCAGTACAATTGGAGTAAGGCTTCCATATTTGGCCGCACATCATTAAGTGAACATTCATAGATGGAGTGCCGACCGAGCGTTACAATTAAATAGTGATAAAGGAACTTCTCAATGTGGTTGCTGAGGAGCCCAAGCTTAGTCCACGGAAGAGTGAGGAGAAAGCGCTCTTTATATTCAGGTTCTGTGTAAGGCATCGGTTGCCTGGTTGGGCAGGTGAAATACGTCGATGTGGTTGGCTGATATATTAAGCGCAAGTACAGCATAGCCCCAGCCTTGCTTGGGGAATTGAGTTTCTGGTGCATTATTTCAGCCAACTATCCCCTCGTCTGTCTCCATTGCCAATGTTAGCTCGGTTTCCAGAAAAAAAAAAGAAAGATGATGGCAGGTGCAGACAGCCGGTGAGAATGGCCCAGCCAATAGACGCCCCATATTATGTAACAAGGTTAGAGAGACTTAGCCAATGAGAACGTACTTTACGGAACCGCGTTAATATGGGCAAACTGGGAAGAGGGTGTAACACCTCTTAGTCTTCCGCCTCCTCCTCCTCCTCCTCCTCCCCAAATATCCCGATAGAAGAGTACTCCTTCCCAGATACTTGAAATTTAATTACACAGATTGTAATGCCAATGCATGATGACCAAGCAACAACACATCTTCAATAATGCATCTCCGGTACGCTTCCAACCGAATGAGGACTGACCTCTTGCTAATTCTAGAAAACATGCAGGTCAAACATTGGGTTCCAGATCCTCCAGATATGGCCTGGGCAGACATTATTGCTGCAATTGAACCAAGGGCTCTCTCATTTTTGATGAATTCACAAATCTATAAATTCAAGTAGGAGAGAAAGGCATACAAGGCCCCTGCTAGCCAACATGAATTTGACCTCATGATGGAAGCTGGGGACTGTGCTGTTAAGGTCCATGTGTAAGGGGTCAAACCCCCTATTCTTCTTGGGCCGAGCCCTTGATGCCATGCTGTGCTAAGAATCTTGGGCCGAGCCCACTTTTCAGCCTTGTTCCTATTTCTCTTTTTGGCCTAGTGCCACACACAAATATTGTGAACATCATATACGGAGTACTCCGTACTCCGTACTTGTGAAGGAGAATTTCGATTTGCGTCGGCGCGGCCGCTTTTGCGCTCCGCGTCCAACGGGGTTTAGCGCCGTCCCCATCCGGTCTAGTGCCGCCCGTTCGGGTTAGGTGCGGCCTGTTGCGGCTTGGCGCCACCCGTTCGGGGATGGTGTTGCTGCCGGCCGCCGTGATGTCACCTCGCATCGCCCGCCGCGACTATATAAACGTCCTCATCTTCCCTGTGTCGTGCACACACCACTTCATCCTCTTTTTTTCCCCTCATCCTCCTCCGTTCCTTCCTCTTCGTCGGCGATCCCCGGAGCTGAGAACCCCGTTTCGACCCGAGTTTCGTCCTTGACTACAATAGGGCTTAGCAGCGAGCACGAGGATCCGACTGAACGGTAGCAACGAGGATGGTATGATGGCAGCTTTGTAGGCTGAAGGCTCCTTCAGAACTTCGAGCAACCTGTATGATGTTTTGCGACCTTTGAATATTCGATTCACGGCAGATGCCATGTTTGCTATGAACGGCGTTTTTTTTATTGGTTTCTTTTTACCGCGGAGATATTCGCTAGGAAGAAAGTGTTTTGCATACAATATCACATTTTATCTACTGGGGACTTGGGTGTTTGCAGGATTAGTGTACGTTTCATTTTATTGTACTGTACGTACATACATATTTCTCTTGTCATTTTCCTATTTTACAGTGAGAGAGGAGGAATTGAATAAAGCATAGCGATTACATACTCCCAACAGACCTTGCCAAAACATACAGTTGGGGAAACACGATGTATTCCTGGGTATCCACGTAATAGGCCAAGCTGATTCCGAAGTATGGAAGGTAGAACCGCTCCATTCTCCGTCCAAAGATAGGGTATGACGCGATATTCAAAAGCAAGCGTCCCGCCCAGACCGAAAGGAGAATACCGGTCACCGATGCCGGGTTCCAGAGACAATTGCCTTCTGCGCCAATTTTCCGGCGCAAGTCTGGCAGCAATGATGATGGAAGGAACCTCATCAAAACTCGGCATGAATGAACGGGTATTTCAATGCCTCCTGAGCTGTTGGCCTCTTCTCATCATCCACGACAAGTAGGGACATGATAAAATCAACCATGATTTCTGGCAACTCCAACTTTCTGATTTCCTTGTCTATTGTACCGACTTTCATATAACCGTATTGTGGATCAACTAGCTTTTCGGCCAGCTCCCATTCTGACTCGCGGTATCTATCAACAGGGGAAGGTAAACTGTTGAATAGGCGGAAGAGCTTCGCGACGGCCCAATGTTCACCTACTCCTAGAGGGTCATCGTGTATGCCGAAGATGGAAGCAGGGGATAAGCAATCCGTTAACTTTTGAGCGTTCTGTTAGTACGGCCGGAAACGCAGGCTACCTAGGAAGGGGTGGGAGGGGCGACTAACAGTAACACCTAGAGACCACACATCCGAGGCATGAAAGCAGCCCTTGCCTCTCCATACCTTTGGTGCTCGACAGGCTATGGGTTGTATCCTTTCATCGTTGAAGCCGTCCGGTATTGCTACTTGAGTTAGCGGCGTTGTTTGGCGTTGGTGGTACCAAAGGGACAATACGAACTTGCTCCGAGATCTGCCAACTTTACCGTAGGCTCTTCTGAGTCGATGTTCGAGATAAGAATATTCTCATGTTTGAGATCTAGTTAATGTTTAATGCACAGGCCAACTTCGGTCAACATTGTCACCGAGCCTACCTGTATGAATCAGGTTCAGCTCCTTGTAAGTTGCGAGAGCCTTCAAAACGCTCTTTGAAGCTACCTGCAGGATCCTAGGATGCTGTTTGAAATATTTGGGATCGAAGTCCACCAAGCTATGGTCCATCCATTCGAAGGCCATCCATGGTTCGGCTCCAGGCGTTGGGTCGGCTAAGTTTGGTGTGGAGTCAAAATCGTCGATGGTGCCTAGCAATGCGCGGATGGGTTTGGACTTGCGGATACTCTCTATGGAGTAGACCCGGTATTCCCGCTTCAAATCTGCCAGCTTATACCTCTCATAGGCGGTTTTGATCACAGCCCGGCTTAACAATCAGCATCAGACAAGTAGATTCAACTAGTCCTTGCGTACCATTGTGGAGTTGAACCAGTTTATTTGGGCAAAACACGGGCTTTGAAGACCGTGGAGGATTTGGTCAGCGGTTTCTCGAGTTGAAAGCTGTGTAGCCGCCCATGAAGTATTCTTCCAGCTCGCCAAGCCATGGCACTGTGCTACGTATCTAATTTGCTGAATGTTCTCAGTAAGATATTCAGAACACGTCGTTCAAGAGAGCCATGGATGGATGGTACTTGAGAGAGTGCATGGAGAAAAGTTTTGGCGAGCTGAGGGCCGAAAGCGGCTCCAGAACTGGGCCGTTTTGGCCGCCAGCTTGCCGGATGATCGAAAAGAAAAGTATATAAAAACAAGAAAACAAGAGAAGAAAAGGAGAAAAGGAGAAAAGGAGAAAAGGAGAAAGAAAAAGGACTCATTACACGGTACATTATGTGTACGGAGTACATGCCGACCAAATCCCTACAACTCCTTTTTCGCTCGTAGATTACTATCTTTCTCCAAAAGATAACCAACTGCCCGCGCCACGCCCTCATCAAGACGAACAATCGGCCGGTAGCCCAGCCGCACTTTGGCCTTGTTGCACGAGTAGTATCTCGACATGCACGAATATCTGACCTCTCGTCTTGTCAGGCGCGGTTTCTTCCCAAACAAGCCAAACACCGTCTCAAGTATACCCCCGACCACGGTCAACGTACTCTCCGATAACTCAAATACCTGGTGAGGCTCGACATAGCGGTCCATCAGTGCCCAGATTGTCCGTGCCATATCCCAGAAGTACACTGGGCTGTCATTCGTGATATTGAAGGCTTCACCGTCAACCCGCTCGTAATCGAGGGGTGCGGCTGCGCCAGCTTCAGTGCGCTTCTTGGTCTCGAGGAGAAGCTCGGCTGCCAGCATGTGGGAGTAGGCGATGTTGCCGACGTATGTGAAATCGAAGAGGTTGTTGTTGTCGCCGAGTTGGAAGTTGAGGATCCGCTGGGATGACTTGGCGGCGTGTTCGACCATCTTGAAGGTAAGCGTGGTGTCACGCTCGCCATAAATGCCTGCCGGGCGGATGGCAACCGTAAGCATGCCAGAGGGTGAGGTGCCGTTGAAATCTAGAACCATATCTTCGGCGATCGCCTAGGTAAAAGGTCAATCAACATTATCCACCGGAGACACGAGACTGAAGGCGGCCACTGCATGGATTATACTGGGCACTACCAACCTTGGTCTCTGTATAGTACTCTTGCTGCAGCTTGCCTGTAATCTTCGGCCATCGTTCATCAACGTGTATCAAGTCGCTCGTCGTATCGTGCACCACAGACGAAGAGCTGGTATACACGAAAGCTTTACACTTCCCACCCCAGTCTCCTCTCATCCCTCCAGCAACTTCTAACAGGTTCCTCGTTCCATTCACATTCACATTGTAGATCAACTCCTTATTCCCTTCCAGCATAAGCGATACAGTGTCAATCACAACATCGGGCTTAACGGCGCGGAACACTTCGAGTAGGGATTCGATGGATAGCACATCAGCATCATAATAGTCCGCGCCGGGGAGCCGATTGTTGGTCGTGCGCAGGTCAGCAACAGAGACCTTCGTGTTCTTGTAGATCGGGTACCGGCCTCGGAGCTGGGGGTATGAGAACCGTTTATCGGGCTCGCCGTTGGCACCGGTGATGCGAGACGTGGAGCCAGAATCTTCAGAAGGGAAGTTCAAGAGGTGGTCGACAATATGCGTGCCTAGAAAACCGCAACCGCCGACAACGAGGACGGAGCCCAGCTCGATCTTACGTTCGGGTGCCATCGTTCCAGTGGGGAACGGAGCTCGAGCTTTTGGAAAAGAGGACTATTCCCCAGCGATTGCAAGAGTATAAATGATGCTGCTGGCCGTTTCTCAGTCTGTTCTTTTCTTCTTCTTTTTTGTCTCGGTTCCCTAGTTGGACAATATGAAATTATCTTATGTTATTATGACATTTTTGTCGGTTTAGGGGAGCCATTGAAGGTTTGTGGAGGACGGAAACCTTGAGGTTGTTCCACTGTCCCAAAGTTCGCCTGACCATCCATTAATCCTAAAATTGCCCACCCCAGCTTCTAGTTCCGCTTCTGCGATCATGACATCCTACTACGGAGTACAAGGATGTACACTACTATCTATGGTTAGAATGAAGGCTTTCCACCCTAGAGAGTATAGGGTATAGGGGCCTAATAACATTGACTATGACTTAACTACAGTCGGCCTCGCAAGACCAAAAAGCAATGATAGCCCCAATCCCACTCCGTACAGAGCATTGCGAACAGAGCAAGAACAAGAATGGCTCTTGTTGAAACTCCCTCCACTCATGATACCCCCATAGAGGAGTCAGACAAGTCAGTAATGCTTAGCAATGAGGGTTTGCCCAATCTTTTCAGGAATCATTTGCGGCCGTTTTTATGATACAGTGCCTAAAGAGTCGCTCTCTGCAGCTGTATCTCCACTTTGGGCACCGCGATGCCTTCAGTAGTAGATTCAAAGCTGGAAGAATATGCTCAGTGCCTCCAACAGGCTCGCGATATCTTCCATAGTAAAGGAAGTGGAAAGACATGTTGATAAGTATTAACTCCTTCTCTCCTGCGCGTGACGACCTCTGCTGCTCATTTGCTGAGTAGCTTGAGGATCCTGAGCTAGTTGGAAGACATTTGTCTCAGCTGTCCTTCCCGACTCTGGTGTAGGCATTCCACCATGTTCCAAGGCCGATATCATCTTCCCGCCTCAATGCTGCTAATGTTCATAGTATTTATTGTTCGGAGCATTGCTGCTCGCTATGGAGCCGCGGGTTACTGCAGCACTACCTTCTCAACAGCAGCTTCTTTTGAGAGTTAGCCATGCTCCGGGAGATGTGTGGTTTGTACCAATTGATACGACATAATCCTTTTTGGTCGAGTGTAGGGATCCAAAATGCTAACCTAAAACCGAAGATCTTCTTCCCCTTCTAAAATTCTCCATTGCTGCCTCCGTGGCTTATGTCTACGGATTGGGCACCTTGCCAATCCTCTCAGCTAGCCTTGTTTCCTTGAGACTGCTAGCACTATATGATGCATTCATTGCTCAATTTCCAGCTGCCATACAATGTATTGATGTTTAACTTGGCAGTTCATCCTTCACTGTATCATTCTGATATATTGAGCCAATCTAGGACTACTCCATGCATATACCAGTGACAACCAAGAGTTAGAGAGCCGCAAGGTAACAACCATGCTTCTGGAACTGTATCAGCATTGTTCCCATTGGTTGTGGAGTTACAATCGTCCCTCACCTGAAAATGTATATCCAGCACATGTGGAATGCTCAATTGTGGATTTAACTGTCATGGACCCCCCTGTCTAAGTGCAATTATGAACCTCGTGTTCCTTTGTTTAAGTTATTAAACGACGCAGAAGCTCCAAAAAAAGTTGTTTGCTGTCTTCAGTTGGTCAGATAGATCTGGCACATCACCATGATTGATGATCACAGGCAATGTGATAGGTTATCAAGATAAACTCTATCAGTTGGTGTACTCTGTAGGTGTGTCTGCTTTGCAGAAACTGATATGCCTTTCAAAGGTCTGGTCAGATGCACATATATCCATCTAGACTGCAGGCCATTCTAGGATTTACGAATTCTTTTGCTGCGCAAGGCTAAGATGCCCCTTAATGCTGATGGACTGTTTTGGGTATAATTTCTGTGGAGGTAATCTGTACAACCTTCACATTATATTTTCCCTTTCTGTCTGGATCAAAGGAATGGCTGAGTATAAGTGTGTGCGTGGCCGCTCCAACGGCTTCCGGTAGAATGGGTCAATCCGCCACCCATTGCCCACCACATATACCATATTTCAATGGAGCAATTTTATCTCCATCTCTTAGTTCTTCTTGTTTTGTCCATCCTCCTACGCTTCCTCATAGCCCCAGGCCATGCGCCTGAAGAACCGCCACTGGTTTCTTCCAGGATTCCCTTCATCGGGCACCTCATCGGTTTAGCACGATATGGAAACCGATATTATGTCCGCCTTAGGTAAACTCATGCATATAAAAAAGAGCGACGTCGGCTAATCGGAGCGATCTCTCGTATTCAGCGCGCAGAGCCAGCTACCTGCTATCACAATCAACATCTTCAGGCAGAAGATTTACCTCATATATTCTCCCGGTCTCCTAGCGGCGGCCCAACGTCACGCCAAATATATATCATTCGAGCCATTTGCGGCGCTCGCTATAAAACGGGCTGCTGGAATTAAGGGAAATGGGCCTATAGTATCGTCGAGTTCTGAAAAGGGGAGATCCAGTTTTGACAAACAAATGAAAGATGCTGTTCATTCTGTTCTGCTTGGAGAGGCAATGATAGGAATCACCCATGCATCCGTAGCAGCGATCAAAAAGAGCGTAGATGACTTGAGATCCACGGAGGTGGTGGATCTCCTTACCTGGTGCAGGCATGTCCTCACCATGGCCACAACCGACTCTATATACGGACCTATGAATCCATATAGAAATCGAGAGGCTGAAGCTGCAATATGGTAAGGTTTCCGAAAACCGAGCAAGAAGTGAACGAGCGATATTAATCGTAAAATTTAGGGAATTTGATTCTGGCCTGGGAAAGTTAATACTGAATTTTGCCCAAAGATTCATCGCCCGAGAAGCATATCAGGCGCGGGAGAAACTCGTGAAACGGCTCCTTGAATACTTCGAAAAATGTGGCTATATCAACGCGTCGTCGTTTGTGCAACGAAGATTAGAAGTAGAAAGAAAAGCCGGCACGACGCTTGAAGACATCGCCAGGCTCGAAACTTTAATGGTCCTGCCGCTTCTGAGCAATTCTGCCCCGTCGACCTTTTGGGTGCTCTTCGACATTTTCTCTCGACCAGACTTGCTCGAAGAGATCCGCAAGGAAATTGTCCAAAATGCCCTTCAGTTCAAACCATGCGACGATTCGATGGGCAAACCAAAACAAATGTACACCCTTAACATGAATAACATCCGCGATAAATGCCCCCTCCTTGTCGCAACATGGCAAGAAACACTCCGCTTGCGTGCCAACACTGCCTCAGTGAGGTTTGTTTCCAAGGACACAAAGCTGAACGATACATACCTCCTCAAAGCCAACAGCATCGTACAAACGCCTGCGAACGTGCTAAATGTGGATCCAAATATATGGGGCCCTGATGCGCACCTTTACAACCCCAGTCGCTTCCTTGATACCAGAGCCTCTCCTGGCGCAGGCGGCGATAGGAAACGCGATCGAAGGTGGAACGGGTTGATGACCTTCGGGGCCTCCCCATGGACATGCCCTGGTAGGCACTTCGCCACTGCGCAAATCCTTGCCCTCGTTTCCTTGCTCGTGATGAAATTTGATATCTCGCCCGTTGTTGGAGACTGGGTTTCCCCGCGCATCAACCACAGGAGCATGGCTTTAGCAATTTCAATTCCAGCAGAAGGCTTAATGGTGAATGTTGTTACAAGAAAGGAAGTTAAAGGTATTGACTGGGAATTCCAAATGATGGAAGGAAAAGGTAAGTTTGGGCTTATTGTTGGGTAGGCCTAAGGGTGAAACGGGTTAGAAGTAATTAATCAACACATCTCAAGCCCTGCTTTGATTCTCGAGCATTAAATATCAGTTGGTATGTCAACCAGAGAGGAGCAAAGTAATCGAAAACTCAGTGTTGATATAAAAAGTAGAGAGACAGCATAAATTAAGGAGAATCTGCTACTATCTCTCACAGCACAACCAGCGAAAGCGAACAGCCTGGTTAAAGGTGATATAAACTTCTTGATTTAGACCCATTGCATACATTAGTAAACAAATGAGGTCTATGTGATTTGTTTGCAGTAAGTAGTCCGAATTTGTAGTTGTTGAAAGAAAACGAAACGGGCTAACGTGTTCAGTTATCGCAATGCCCATAGAAAAGAAAACATATCTTAGCAAAAACTGTATCAAGATCACGGACATCATGAGCAATGGGTTCAATTGTCGTATTTCATTATCTAGCATTATTCCCTGCAAAGCAGTTAAGGTCAGCCACTCTGGTGGGCAAAATCCCATTGCGTTGCTTTTCTTTGGGCACCGCTGGGTTTTCACTTACTCAATACTACGCTGAACTGAGCGTCTAAGCAAACGAGTATATTGCTTCTTTTGGTCCGGAGAGCCCCAGAATAAGTTCGAAGCTTCTGGATTGACTGTCGCACGCGGGTCATATCGCGGTGATTCATCCTCCAAAGCTGCCACGATGGCCTCCACATGGGATTTCATATCTTCTGTCTTTCTGCAAAAGTAACAAAGGACACCATCTTTCGAGACCCGATGATGGAACAGAGACGTCTGCACAAAGACACGAGGCTGGGCCTCTGGGAAATGTGGGCTGAGGCAAATCTTGATACGGAAAATACCCCCATCAAGATGCGTCATTGGCCGCCCAAAGTAGGTCAATTGCCAGACAAACGGGTTGCCATCCTCAAGGCTGATATCGACGGTGAAATTATTTTTGGCTTTCAGGTCTTCCGTGATCTGCTCGTATTGTCGTTGCAAACTCACGGATATCCTGGCATCGTTGGATTTCGCTTTCAATCCTTCAGCCGCCCAACCATCAGTTTCCTGAATAATGCAATCTTTGATGCGAACAAGGCGCTGTTTAAGGTCGGGATAGTTGAAGCGCCCATCCATCGTATTACCACCACCCTCAAAAGGCATTCGTTCAAAGCGCGTCCCGACGGAGTTTTTGGTTTCTTGTTCTTTTATTATGTTAATGTATGATTCGTAATACCAAAGCACGCGTCTCTTGCAAAGATCGTGAAACGGTTCAAATGGTGGTTTTTCGTCTTCATCTTCATCTGGATCGTCCGACAAATTGCCGGATGGCGAGATAACAGTACCATCTGGCTGTATTCCTAGTGCGTCCTCCAGACGCTGAACCACAGAGACACGCAGGGATTCATGATGAATCTATAGACATGAGCGATCCAAAGGAAGTGTTCATCTCTAGGGACTCCAAAAGTTACCTTTTCAATATATTTATCCATTGCCCTTAAATCACTCTCCGCCCTGGCGTCCTCATAACCGGGTTCGTTCTCGTACGGGTTGGACGACAGCAGGCTCTGGATGGAAATCAAAATGGATTCCAGCCCTTGGGCTGAAGACCATTGCTCTCCACTCTCGCCACGCCAAGTACTAATAATTGTAGTTAGTATTGATTATTATTTTCACTAAATTGGTGTAATCGGAGAGTCTTTACCCCAAAATAGATCTTTGACGAGTTAATGTTAGCACCAATATTGCTGGGTAGAAGTAAGACGAGCATGAAGACTTACAAGCAGACTTTTCCACAAGCATAAATATTAGGATTGAACCTACATCTGCCCCCATTGGTAGTGACTGACTCAACCTTGGGAGGGCTTGCGGGGTAATCTGCGTGAAGCGCATGATATGAGCAACAGAGCTACTAACGATAATAGCAAAATTGGCTATGTACCTTTTGGAAATCTAATGGAAAACTGTGTCCAAATGTTAGTTTTGGCACGGGAAAGCATGGGGAAGTTTCATCATACCTCAAAAAAGCCAAACTCATATGGAGTCTCAGCGGGTCCGATTATCATGGCTCTGACATTGCGAATGTCTTCTTCCTGACAAGCCACAGCCAATGCTATACAAACGATGTTAACGCGTCTAAACCTGCTACACAGATATAAAGTGCCACTTACATAGATCTGTTCCTTGTTGCAACTGGCTGATTTCCTGTGTTCCAAAGCCCAGTCAGTCAGCAAACACAAAACATGAGCAACAAAGCAGCAAAACTGATAAAGAGAAGGGAGAATACCCGGCCAATTCGAAGGATAGCCTGGTTGGCCATTTTGTTGAGAGTTTTGTCGAGAGGACAGTGGGTTATGACAAGAAGTTGGGAGCTGTGAGCCCCTCAGAATGCAAGTTGGCTATCAGACACAAATGTGGGGAGACGCGATCAGACAGCAACAACAACACATCATAATCAGTCATGCAATGGAAAAATTAGGCAGTGAAGAATGCCCTTTTAGTCAAATCAAAAGCAGTTAAGAAGTGCAAGATCAGGATTCAGACGGCGTGGTGAAAGACTAAATGTTGATTTGGAGCTGGATGACCGGGCAGAATCCTTTACAAAGAATCAGAAATGACAGATTTATCCGCCTGAGGGGATGTGCCCTTTGTCAATATGCCAGTTAATATTCACTTTTAAATTTGTACTGCTTCAAATGATGACGTTGATGCATAATAGGAACCAGAAATCCATCTAATATCGGCCCAGCATAGCGTGAATCTATGCCCGTCTCATTGACCTTGGAACATCCAGGGACTCTTAGGGAGGAAATGCAAATTCAAATGGCGAAAAGAGGAAACAATCATCTGAGTGAGATGGAGTCGTGAGCGGATAAATAGTAAACGCTCCGTGAGTCAAGCCAGGCTGCTCAGAGACCAATGACTACATACAGAAGAGCGAAGACTCGAAGGCTGGAGGATGCTGGGGCAAGCGAAGGTTGGGGATCCGCTGGCTGACCCGACAACTGACGTCCTGCCCAGCCAGGCGCTAAACTATGATGGGTTTGCAGGCTCCAGCCTTACCGCTGCTATGTATTACCACACACCCTGTCTGCCTTTCAGTCCCAGCAACCCCCCAGGCATGAGCGGGTTTAAAACAACAGGCTGCCAGACGAGTCCCCACGCGGTGATAGGTGCCAAACACTGTGGGGATATGCAAGTATACAATGATGCCTAAAATAAGATGGAGTACGGAGAAACTATGGGGAGGAATTACTCCGTCCCATGGGGCCAGCGCTTCCACCCAAGCAGCGCTTCAAAATTTCCTCACACAAATTGGTAGTTGGTTGATGGCGGTATCCTGGATGCGTGATGCCTTGCACAACCATGCCACCCTTATGTGATGCGAATGACGGAACAATGTGGATGTATCTAGCACAATAGCCAAAACTCCAATATACAGATTATGCCCGATGCACCAGGCCCAACCAACTGCGCCACTCAACTAAAGATACCGATATTATGGCATTTCATTTCTGGATGCTCTGCTCGATCAATTCAGTTGGATTGCTTGAAATAGGACACTAAATTATCGCCGAACCTAGTGGCTTACTCAGCAATAACCCTGTGTTTCAATTGTTTGATTGGCTGCAGATGTACGTTGTGGTTAGGGATACCATTGACGCCAGTTAAAGCAGTGTATTTTTAGTCTGGTAGTAAGCCCGTCTATCCACGGAGGTTTGGGGTCATTTGCCAGTTGCAGCGTGGAAAATCAGGGGACATGCAAATTCCATGAATTTTTTTTAATGGTACCTTTCCTTCCAGATAGTGACCCATCCTTGATTCAAGGGGGTTTGGTTGACGTTACCATCCCGCCGTACCTGCCATTGCGCCTTACGCTGGCGAGAATCCAATTCTCCTGATGACTATGACCTGACACCAATCGCAATGTGAGTTCCGGGATTTGGTTGAGAGAGATACCATGCACCAAGGATATCGAAAGAGCTAGACTGTGGCTGACAGTGGCGATAACAGGGTCGTATTCTCGCTCGTCATCATCAACAAAGCCGGCGGCCTCATCTACCAGCGCGAGTTCCAAGCTGGGCTACAGAAACTCTCCACAAATGACTACCTTGTCCTAGCCGGTACCTTTCATGGGTCTGTCCAGTCTCAGCTTATAAGGCGCACATACCCAGCTAACCAGACTCATCTGCTGCTTTCTAGCGTCCACGCCATCACACGCTCTCTCACACCGCGAATTGCTACCGGGTCGCCGTCAACATCTACATCGACCTCGAGCACGACGCCGACCACCCATTCCACCCTCCCCAACCCAGGCCTACCGAAAACTGGGCTCGAAGTGCTTGAAACGGAGAAATTCCGCCTGACATGTTTCCAGACCATCACCGGCACGAAGTTCTTGCTATTCACCGATCCATTGATGCCCAACGTTGATACGCTGATGCGCAAGGTCTACGAATTATACGCGGATTATGTGATGAAGAATCCGTTCTATCAGATCGAGATGCCGGTCAGGTGCGAGGCTTTCGACCGGCATTTGGGCACGTGGTTGAGAAGTCGAGGTTAAACAAATAGAGGGCGTGGTGGATCCGTGATGTTGCCATTTGCACCAGCAATACATATGACACTTTCAAAGCAATTTATTTAGTCGCTGCTACGGGACGAGCAGCACACTATAACCGAAATATTGTGCTCGGTTTAACTTCATAAAACGTACGCCAATAACACCAGGGATGCATCGAGCATAGAAATCTAGATAGATATAACAACCTATTCTAAATAACGCCATCATGAGGTGTCCATCTTATCCCCATCGTCCCCCTTGTCTTTCCGGTTGTCACCAGGCGGACCCTGGTTGCTTCCGCTAGGTTCACCACTTTGATTAAGGAGTGGTTGTGATTCCTCCGGAATGCCTTCTAGCGAAGCCTTGTCTTTTTCTTTCTCTTGCTTCTCCTTCTCTTGACGTGCTTTCTCTTCTTCCAGGGACATCCGTAAGGCAAAAGCGAGCTCGGGATCTGCCGAGGGATCGATACCAAATTCGAACCCATTGGCTCCTTCCTCTCCTTCTCGACCTCCCATGCCCTCCCCACCAATAATTGGGGTGGCAACCAGCGAGTCGCTCAAAAGATTCGGGCCAGGATGTATTATCTCAAGATGTGACCCGTTGCCGCTATTCACGTTCTCATGGAAAGCTTCTAGCTTCTTCACCGTGTCCGAGTCGAGATCACCGAATGCAACGAAATCGACGTTTACATTGTGTTTCTTCATTTTCTTTGCAAGTTTCACGAGCGTCTTTTCATCTTCGGAAATGGGAGAGCATGTGAAAACGATGATGCGCTGGCGCTGTGCGCGTTCTTTTCGGTGTTTGAGGGCCAACTAGATTCAAAATAAAGAGCGTTAGAATAGCAAATGAAAGGTATCACAAATGCCTCTGAAAATGTCTCCACGCTCACATGTGCAACTTGTATACTCGAAGAGAGATGCGCATTCCCCCGGATCTTCGTTCGATGAAGTCCTTCTAGGATCTTGCCAATATCTACGGTAAAGGTAACCAACACCTCTGGCCCATTTCCACCCATGCTCATTAGGCCGACTGAAGACTCTGGGTTTGCTTGCGTCTTTGCGGAATGAACTAGGTTGATAGCATCGGCTTGAGCTTCGAATCTCGTTGGCCTTTCCACGCGCATTAACTTGTGCATCTCAAAAAATCTCAACGTTTCAAACGTACAAGTAGTCTCCATTTCTGCTGCTTTCGCTATTGTCCACACTGCAGCCGAAGTCTATTAGCTTTTATGTCAGTAGGCCAGATCGGATCGGAGGACAACGAACATGATCATAGTCGCCTCGAGCGTCATCTTGGCGGATGGATAGGTGCCAGTGTATAGAATAAGGAAAGAATTTCAGAAGCTACAGCACACGGAGTGAGAATAGAAGGATCAATGATGGTGGGGAGTGGCGGCGGGTCGTGAACTGTGGTGTCTGCTTTGTGGTCTGGCTGCGATGTTACGATAGCTGGAGGTGATGCTTTGCCTGCGTGAGAGCCACGCTAGTCCGCCTTGGGCCTAGGCGCATGAAGCTCAGCCATTTCGTCACTAGTGTCTTGGCATTGTTTACATCCCCCCAAACCAAGTCGCACACCAAACTGTTCCATCTTGTTCCCCCTTCAATCCATCCGGGATGGGCAGCAACAATTCACGACTTTGAAGCACACGTGCAGATATATACCCGGCGAAGAAACCTGAAATCATTAGCTGATACTCTATCATATATTTGAATATGGCTCTTAATCCTTCCACAAAGCGGAGAATCCCGGATCCGGATCCGGACGCGTTCGACGACGAAGCAGTGCGCACACCCATAGGAAGCCCGCCAATGAAGAAACTAAGGATTACCCAACGCCAGAAACAAGCATTGATGGAAAATTTGCAACTAGAGAGTATGTTACTCTTACCTTACGCACTATTCCCTGGGATAGTGAGCTCACCACTTCGCCAGTCACTGAGCGAGCGCGTAACCTTCGTGCACATTATGCGCTTCAAGCCCAAGATCTCCGTGCAAGAATTGAACGGCGAATCAACCGTATTCCAATAGCTCTGCGCAATAAAACTATGGGTGAACTCTTTGCAAAACACCAGGACGAATCCAAGGCAGAAGCCGCGAGAAAGCGGAGGTCGAAAATGACCACAAGTCCCTCCCTGTTCAAAAAGTTGTCGGGGTTTTCTAAAGCCACCAGGCCGGCGCCATCCGCTGATAAGGCGAATGCTGGGAAACAATCAGCAATTAGAGCTGGCAAGGCGCCAAGACGGAAGACGTTCGTGTCCATATCCCCAGAATTCGCCTGCTCGTGTTTATTTCCTAACCGGTTCTAGTGACGATATCCATTCCTCTGATAAAGAAAATGCGCCCTGTCCTGAATCTATCCACATTCCTCTCGCTAATCCAAAGAGACGTGGCAAAGCCGGAGCCACAGGAGGCACCGCGCGCGTAATTTCCCAGCACGCGCAAGGGAGTGTATTGTCTCCCAAATCCTCCAACTCGAGGACATTCCCACAGTCACCCTTGAAACAATCGCCAGTAAAATCTCCATTGAAACCTAGCTACGGAAACCTAGATGAGAACACCAAGGCGAGAACTAGCCGGGACGCAGCACGTAAAATCCTCTCTCCCCAAGATTCTCCCGTGGGCAACCGGCCATGTAGTGCTGCATCTGTGCGAATGAAGAGAGGCACTGGCGCAAAATCAGCGGCAGGGGCCCCTGGCACGACTCGAAAGCCCATCTCTCGACCTGCGACACGGCAGCAACATACGCGAAGCGCTAGCACGAGTACTACCATTTCCAATGCCTCTGCCGGGACGACAATAGTGAAACCTGCTAGGTCTGGGATAACTACCACGAGAAAAGCTGCCACAGGCACATCGACATCGACAAAAAAGCTAACGACGACGAGGGGTCAGACAGGGACCGCTGCGTCCAATGCAAAAAAACCGCCCACCTCGACAGGAACGAGGAGGGGATTGGCCGTTGAGCCACCACCGGCGAGTAAAAGAGTGCTTCGAAACAGGGCATAATATCAAGTTTCGTGTGTTAGTATTGCATAGCCTTTGGGTATTGTTTTGCTTTTACATTTTTCTCGGCGTTGGACGGAATATGGATATTTGTGCTTTTGAGGAGAGTATGCCCCTGGTGGGAGTAATATTTTTACCCAGTGGTGTTAAATATGTGTATCATATGGCTTATTGGCATGTTATATCAGAATGAAAAGGGGCATTTTGTTTGAGTTGTTCAGCTTGTTCTGCCATTTGAATCAAGTTATATATCGGTCCGATCATTATATTGGATATTGGCATAGAAAATTATTTTATTCATCCTGCGGATATCAAGACAATATCTATGGTATGAAGCCATATTAGTATGAATGAAGCTCAGACGGATGACACAAATTATTGCATCTGCATTCAATTGCCTATCCTTAATGTAGTAAACCCATTGCAATACTGGAAAAAGCAGTGTTGAAAAAATAGACTCCAACAAGTATGCAGAATGTTAATAGGTATTTCCTTTGGGGGAGGAAGGAAAAAAGTTCAGACGGCGAATTAGCTTGATGCAGTGCGAAACAAAAAGGGTATGGTGTGAAAGGCGCTATCGCAATTAACTGAAGAATTCAATCGCATGACAGCAAGGCCTCACATCGAAGAAGAATTCAAGTAGAAGGGGAAAAAAAAAAAAGGCAATGAAAAACCAGCTCATTAGCTTACTCAGAACATATGTGAAATACCCCGCTGCCATGAAGATTAACAAAGAGGGAATATGAATAGAACCCAGATATGACCTGACTGAAGAGACACTGAAAACAATCCATTTGGGCAGGTGAATAGACTTGATTAAGGGCTTTTTTTTCGGGCAGGTATTGAAAGACAAAATGAAGTGTTTCATGTCATGAAATCATGGGGAATCAAGGAGAATTGAAAGTTAAACCCAGAAGCCCTGCATGGAGGACAACTTCAGAGGTCTAAGTGGTATCATTAAGACTCATACAAAAGAAAAGGACGAGAGGAAAAGGGGAGGAGAGGGAAATAAGTATGCTAAGGGTTAGGAGAATGAGACGGGGTGCAACACTAAAGGGAAAGACCACACACATGTAAGGTGCGGATAAGAAGAAACGTAGAAGGAAAACCAAGTGCAGTGACAAAAAACAACCAGACATCAAGCCCTGAAGAAAACTAGTATGTGCTTCATGCATCAAAGGGAAAAATGGCATGGCTATTTGATTATTTCATCAAGTCCTCAGCGCTGCGTTTTGTGAATGCATGCTGAAAAGGAACTAGGATCGAACTAACTGGCCAAAGACAGATAATCAAAGACAGCACCATGCACAACCAAAGAACAAGGGAAGGTAAAGGCAAATGTTTCAAGCCTCGGGCGCCGAATAAACAGGAAAAAGAAATGGGATATTGGAAGTGCGAGCAATTGACTCTAGATACCTGGCTGTCCAATAGGCTGCTGGGATCTATAGGGGATTTGCTGCTGGTGCGAATATCCTTGGCTATGATAGCTATCACCACTATCACTGCGAATAGGTTGAGCATGTGGACGGAGTTCAGAGCCGTCATGCGCTTGTTGAGGCTGGACGTGTCGAACGGAGCTTTGCATCTGCCAGGCAGTAGCTTGAGATGGATCACCATCAATCCTAGTTGCAACAGGTGTATTACTACCACGGTTAGATCCAGAGCGGGCAGGAAGTGAGTCTAATCCAGTTGGGGTGCGCTGTGGAACAGGGAACTTGGCAATTTCTCCCCAGCGTTTAAGAATTTCTTTTGTTGTGATCTCAGCTTCACGATTAAAAAGTGATGAGTCGTTAAGGATGGATTGGAGATCATGTGGCACCTATAAATTAGATTAGCACCACCCATCCCGAACATAAACAAGCGGTCAACTCACTTCACACATTGAATCATTAAATTCAAGCAATGATGTGACAGCCTCGATGGCCAGGAAACTGTCATCAACACCCGCTGCTTTGGTATTCGAATAGAGAATGTTCGGAGTCATCACAGTCGCAAGATTGTGAATATCCATTTTACTTCCAGACTCCTCGTCTATATGTGAGAACGACGCGGTCCATCCGAGGAAAGAAAACAGAACTTCCATAGTATCGCGGTGGGACTTTGGCAACAAGCAACATGTAAGATGCAAGACACGTCGACGCGTGTCGAGGTCGGGTATCTCTGCAAGAAAAGGGAAGCCATTAGCTGACGAAACGCAATTTCTCTAGAAAGCCCAAAACTTACTCTGCGAAACGATAAACAATTTGTGCAGCTTGAATGTAAGGAGAGGATCCGGCATTTCTCTCAAAAACTTTTTGAGAAGAGCGGCCACTTGGACGGGGCTTTCTTTATTCAAATCTGCAGTTTCATATTTCGTGTCGATCAACTCAGCAGTATCCTTCAATCGCCTGATATTGCCGTTTTTCCGGAAGACACCTTCAACAGACATATCCATTTGTCTCATGGCAGAGATGGCATCGTCAACAAACGTTGGGATGCGAAGATTGCCAGGACCAACGCCGTGTGTCGACTCCGTACCATCCCTATCAACCAGCTGCTCCAGGTTAACACCAAAAACGCCCTTCTTCTTTCCACCTTTGCGGCTATCGTTTTTAAACGCTTTTCCAAAGATATTCCAAATGGTTGGTTTTCGTGTTTCGATTAACTCGAGCAACTCCTCGAGATTAAAATGTCCCTCGACGAGTGGTTGCATTGACAAGACAGCTACATGGCGAACAATGAAGTATTCAAGGGCTGACAACTCAGAGAAATATTTCGTATGTTTCGGAGGCTGCTGTCCCTGTCTATCCTCGGCATTTGATAATTCGCGTTGATGGCCTTGCTTAATCTTTGGGGCCGGTTCTGCAGAGGCCACAAGCCCTGTACGGGCATGTTTGAAAGCGTTGGGACGGTGCTCTTTAGCCTGCTCAGCGGCGACAATGCGTGAAATATCATCAAGGGTCAATGCGTCTTGATTGCCAAAAGTCAAATCCGTTATTGGTTCACCGTCAGCATCTCTTTCCTCGACAATCTGGAACCCATACTGCCGCGAGTCACCCTCGACTCCAGAAGAGCCCGGTCTGGCGCTGCTTCCCTTAGGACCATCGATAATTCGAGAAGTTCGGGCTTTCTTGAATGTAGTAGATACTGCTCGCTCATTCCGAGTGGATCGGAGTCTTCGCATTTCCCCCACGGTCTGTTCTAGCGAAGAAGGCGCGGTGTCTTTGGACGCTTCCGCATAGGAATTCGACCTGGTGTTGGCCCTCTGGGGAGGAGATTGCAATTCGCCTGTGGCGGAGACTCTGTGTCCATCGTTCGCTTCATATTGGTTCAAGTTCGGATCATCTGAGTGGAAAGGTGAATTTAATGAGGCAAAGCAGAAAGAAGGGAAGGAGTGCATCGTACCTGATGTATGTGGCAGCGTGCCTCCCGATCGAAGTACAGCCAAGAGTCTTGCGAGAGCCACTTCCAAGAGGAAAACATACTGCTGCAGCCTTGTGACATAGACAAATCCCCCAATGGCTTGGGGATCATGGCCTCTTTGCTCAGCACACGCACGGCAGTATGGCCGATCGTTCTTTTCGCTCCAGCGAGCTCTCGAGAGATCCATGGTGAGATCATCCTGGCAAGCACCACAAACGAGATGAGGTGGCTTCTTATGCCAAAGTCTTTCTCCAAGTGAAATACACTCATCATCGATAGGATCCTTGCAAGCAGCACAGCAGTCCGATTGTTGATTTGCGAGTCGCTCAACGTTGCTCGTCAGCCCACTAGCTGAAATCCGATTAAGGCCGTCTAAATCTTCAGCTTTCTGGAGGAACTTGAATAGCTCATCTGCACTTTGGGTCTCTCTTTCAACCTTAAGAGCACCCTGCAATCCAATGCGGATCAAAAGTTTAAGATAATGGGCCAATCCAGTAACGAGGGCGAGCAACTCTTGGGTTACTCCAAGTTTACGAACTCCGGTTTCCTGAGTCTTCGACAGGAGTGCAAAGAATGCAACTATCTTCTTGCAAAGGAGTTTAGCCTCTCGAGCATACGACAGGTCTAAAGAAGAAGGGTCAAGGTCAGCATACTCCTGCAAAATGCAACGTTACTGGGGTATTACCTTTCATGCCTTTGGATGATATCACAGCCGCAAGTCTGTCGGTGCCCTTGAACAATACCTCCACATGAAAAATGAATTTCTTCGCCACGACAACTCCGTCAGCATAAGCGCCGTTGCTAACATGCAGCAACATGTCAGATATGCACTGCGCCGACGACTCCTCGAAGGTCGACAGGACACTCCAGATGCGGTACACTTTCTCCTCCATCTCGTCTTCTTTCTTTCGGATCCGGTCACGTTCTTCCTGGGGAGCATCGACATCGAGTTCCGGGGGCTCATACTCCTGCCCGTTTGGTGCCAAGCGGACATTCCAGAACTTGTGGATCATGTAACATTCTGGATGCCAATGCTGGTTCTGACCATTGCGGAATATCTCAACAAACTGCTTGAGGATCGCGGTCTGGCAGCCATTGCATCTCTGTGCGAAACAGGTTGAGTAGTGGTAATGGCAGTACACCTTGGCTTCATGCTCATAGTAGCTGTCTTGTGCTCCAAAGATGGCTGGACAAACGGAACATGTGAAATGTTCAATGTGGTACTTTCGATCCAGTGCAGTGATATAAGATCCACGGAGTGCACCACCACATTCATAGCATATCAGGTTCAAGCGCCTAAAATAATCTGTTTCACACAAAGGGTATTGTCCATTTCCATCCTCAGCATCAACAGGAAAGAACTTGGACGCGACAACATCTCCGCAATCCTAACATGGATGTCAGTCAGAAGAATGCCACATGCAAGCAAAGTGGTATTGACGCGTACATTACACTGAAAACACTCTAAGTGATACGTGCCTCCCAGAGCACGAACAAACTGTCCCAGGAGGGGCTCTCCGCACTTGCGACAGATTCTTGAAGTATTCCCTGGCGATTTACCACCGGCGGGGCCATTCTGGCGCGATCGATCACGTGGAGTAGATCTTTCTCTCTGACCTTGTCCGGGCTCCTGAGGCCTGCCTAGACGGTTGTCGGTCTCTTCCGGGTTTGGGGCAGAGGAATTTGCCCAGGGGGCGCCTGTGGTAGGGTCTGGGATGTCCGTGGGCGAGTGAGTCTGGTACGCATCACCATAAACTCCTGTGTTCGTGTTTGCCTGTAGTCCCCCATTTCGTGCGCCACCAGGAATTAGTTCCGGGGGAATACCTGGCGGTGGAGGCATCTCCGCGTCAGATAACCTCCCCGAACAGCACTAGAGGTCGAGGTCGCAGGGCAGCAGAGCTTGAGGGTGCGGCTTGTCTGGTTTTACTTTATGCTTTTTGTTTATTTTTTGGAAAGGGAGCGTGGGAGGGGTGTGTTAAACGGTGGCAGGACGGCGGAGTGGATTAGGGGATCGTTGGAGAAAGGGAAAAAAAAAAGGTCTCGAGGGAAGGGAGAGAAATCGCGCGAGTTGCTGACAAGCCGGCGACTAAGCAGGAAAGGTCAATGATCGACGAGTCTCCGTAATTTGAGGGAGCGTGCCAATTGTTGGGTGCTATTGGGTGACTCAAGCAATCTCTCAATGAAGAGAGAATTGTTCCGAAAGGTCAAAGGTTAGATTCGCGGAATCTCTCACAGAAGGTTTTGAATCGAGTGAGTGGTTGTGATGACAGAAGGGCAGGTGACGCGAAGTGAGGGAAAACAGGAGACGGGCTGGTTGGAGGTTGCAAACACGACTGGATCTCTCAGGGTAATTGACCTTCCAGCAGGACTGGCAAATAAAGAGTTAATGAGATCAGGGCCAGGAAGGGTCTGATAAAAAGGCTGCTGGGTGTCAAATATGAGGATGTGAGGGCGGCGAAGTAGCTTGGCATGCAGATGAACATCTAACCCCCTCGTTCACCGACAGAGTGAGAGGATCTGAGGCTGGCAGATAGACGACTGACCACCCCAACCGCGTTGGTCTACGCGAGCAGCAGGGTGCGGAGAGACAGCGCGCGCGTCGTGAGCAGGGCAGCAGAGAAGGGAAGCAGGACAGAGAGAAAGCACAGCAAAGGAACGGCGAGCACATAGAGAGAGTAGAAAGAGAGAGAGAGAGAACAACACCAGCGCGGCAGGGGAAATGTTGTTGGCGGGAGAAGGGCTGCGCATCGAGCTGCTTGGCCGCCCGCCTTTCTTGTGGTTCACCCAAGTCGATGCCGCTAGTGAGCCGCGCTAGGCAGAATGAGGCCTGCACGTGACCTGCCGCCGGCGCTGTTTCAGGGTCGCTTGCAGTTCCACTTCTTGCTGGCGGCGGTGCAGATGGAGATGGAGAGAGAGTGGTTTGTCTTGACGGGCAGGCCATGGAGAGTGGGCTTGTTTCAAGCGTCAGCTGGCCGGCCGCGACCGACGGGGTGGCGGGCGAAACAACAAGCCATGCTCATCGACCGGGTTTATTATTAGACCATGGATGCTTTGCGTTCGAAGGGAAAAACCCAGTTCCAGCGCCCTCACAACCATGGTTGAAGGCTTGTTCACGCCGCCAGGGACCCGGCCATTTTGTTTTTACTTTTATTTTGTTTTTATTTTTTTTTTATTTTGTTTTATTTTCTCTATATTTTTATTTTTTTTAATTTTTAATTTTTAATTTTTAGTTCTTTTTTTTTTTTTTTTTTTTTTTTTTTTTTTTCTTTTTTGGGTTCGCTCTTGACTTCCGGGAAGTTAAGGGCGGCAAACCATGGAAATACACTCACTCTGCTACACACTCTCTTCTAGATGGCCAGTTTTGAGGACAAGGATATCGACCCTACAAAATCAGTGTATGTACGGCTCTGCGGCTGGTGATATCATTGATGGAGAAGTATGGGGCTTCAGGGTCCCCAGCCGAGATCTTAGCTCTACCGGCCTTCAGCTCCGATGCCACCTACTCCCAGCTGCTTCTTCTTCTTCTTCTTCTTCTTCTTCTTCTTGTTGTCAATATTTCTAGGAGAGTGTGGTAAATACCTAGCTTTCGTATTCGTTGAGTGCTAAGAATATCTCAACATTAATCTAAGCTAGTTATGCATAAATCTACTTTGTAAATGTCGATACACTTCTCAGAGGGATCATATCTTTGCCTTTGGCTTTTCCGCCTTTATCCTTGCATGGTATCGATCGCGCATTTCCCGTCGAAGCATCTTCCCCGACGGAGTTCGTGGTATCTGCACGTTTCACGGAATTCCATCAGCACTCCGAAACCGAAAATGGTGGTAATAATAAATACATATGTCTAGATCAAAGATATAGAAACTTACGGAGTCCACGATTTCAAGTCCGCCGGCAAGGTGCTTATGTTTCGAGAGTCTACTCTTTACAAACTCATCAAGCTGCTGTACAACCACACTTGCCTTGATGCGCTTCCCTTTTTCTGAGAGAACGACCCACGCACGCGGGAACAGGCTGCCGTCTCCGCGACCGTTGTCGACACCGGCGACACATGCATCCTTGACAAGGCCGTCAGGGTGCGAAAGGAGCGTGTCCTCGACCTCAGTCGCAGCGACTTGGAGGCCCTTGACCTTGATCATCTCCTTCAATCGATCAAGGTAATGAAGTCTATCCTCCGCATCCCGCATGACGAGGTCTCCCGTTCTGAGCCACCCCGGCTCCGTGAAGATTTCGGCCGTGGCTTTCGGGTCGCGGAAGTAACCTGGAGTGACAACGTTCGCTCGAACCCACAACTCACCGTTTGATCCCTTGGGAACGGGCTCGAGTGTATCGGGATCAACAACACGGCCTTCCACGCCGGGGAGCAGGTGTCCGATCGTACCAGGTTTGGAGAGGGAGAGACCAAACATCCCTTCGGCTATCGGCTGCGCGATGGATGCTGCTTCAGAAAGCCCATATCCCGAGGGAACGGGTGTTCCTTGGGGCAGCTTGCGGCCAAACTCATGCGCTACGTCTGGGGGCAAGTACGCGGCTCCGCTCACGACAGTCATCACGGACGAAAGATCATATTTATCCGTGAGTGGCGACTGAGCCAATTGCCTGACGAGAGGTGGGACAAGAGGCAACATGGTCACTTTATATCTCTGTATAAGCTGGAGAGCTTGCTCCAAGTTCCATTTTGACATGAGGATGTTGGTCGAAGGGCTGAGGTTTACCCGCAGCGTCCAAAGGATCATTCCAAACGAATGGTACGCCGGTACAACACCTAATTCAAACGTAAGCCATCCCTATGCCTAGGAGAATTCTGCTATTGGCTTCAAAGCCTACCTAAAATAACTGAGTGTGTTGGAGTAAGACCTAGCTGTTGCTATAATAAGTCGCTGTCCAATTCAAAACCAGAGAAGCCAGGGAGCGTACAAATTGCGCTGTCTTCATCGCAGTGATCGCGCCTTGCATGGATGTGTGGATCGCATTCTTATGTGAGATCATCATCGCCTTTGGAAACCCGGAGGTTCCAGATGACTGAAAGAGATAACATAGGTTATTCCCTCCCCTCAGTTTTCTACTTAGCTCCGGCATCTTCCCCCCTTGCCGAACCAGGTACTCTACCGTCGGATAGCCCTCGACAAAATCCACTGTTGGATCATCAGATATGACGATGATCTTCTTTGGGTTGAGCACAAACGATAAGTTGCTATCATCGCCCGCTTGCGGTCCTCTCTCCAGAGTTTCACGCACTACGGGGAGAAGAGACTCATGTACAACCGCGGATGTGATCTGCATCTTGCGCATGATGTGGTAAAGCTCAAATGGGGTTGAGTTTGGGCTGATTCCTCCGAAGACTAACTCCGCCCGAAAACACGAGTGCGAGATCAGCGGCCATGTTAGATGATTTTTCGAGAAAATACCCAATATCTCTCCGTCCTCTCGGTCGTTTCTGGGTGATTTCTGCAAGCCAATTGGGTTGGCGCCATCGTATCTCAATGCTCGTGATAGCGCGCACACTCGCTGGTAAAATTGGTGCAGCGTTATCTTCTTTCCCGTATTCGCATCGATGAATAGATCGTAGTCTGCTCCCAGGGGCTGATCTGGTGGGAACAGGAATTCATGGACATTCAGATCTTCATCGACCTTGGGGAACGCTCCGTAGGGGCTCCGGAAAATGTGCTCGTCCGTTGGCTGATACTTCCCGCGCACGTCAGGCGATCCAGGTTCAATGAATCTATTTGCCGCCATTCTGTGAAATCAGATAATAACTCTCACTTGAGGAACGAATCTAGAAGAGAACGAGTAGTTTCCCCTGCTAAAAGCATACATCCGGGACATATTATATTTCGAATCAACGGTTGGCTGCTGTCATTATCACTGGAAAACAAGCTCAAGGACCTCGGAACTAGTTGGTTAACTATTGATTTCTGGCTCTCCTCAACAGAAAAAGCAATACGAGCCAATCCACGAACAGCATTCTCCGCATTTTGTGTCAAAGAAGGCGCTGCGTCTCCCGTACCCCAAACGACCCTATCCATCCTCGGCCCAGGATACCTAGCTTCAAACCAAGAGCTTCCCCCGCAAATTGCATTTGGGCCGGCTTCCCTTACAGTGGCGGCATACAGTAATATCGGCCCAATTCGATAGCCCTGACGCTGGGGTCCGAGCCGAGCAGTTCATGGGAAAGGCCAAAATCGCGTATTTCAGCCAACCCAGCCATAAGCGATGGTGCGGCCTGAAAGAAGCAAGGTTGATCTTGCAAGAACCTGGTCCACGCCACAATTAGGCCCTAGCTAGTCAGGCTCGAGAGTTTCCAATCGCACGTCGCATTTCACGAAGCCGCCCAAGAAGCGTTGCTTCGACTCCTGACGAAACGGTTGTGTCTTGGCACTCGGACCTTTCGGCATAAGGTTAATCCGGAACCAAACCTTATATAGACTAGTTCATTCTTACATAATGAATCCGGGTCTTGGCGCGGTCGTGATGGCGGAGCGGGAAACAGCAACGAAGCTTGACTCGACCGTTCCGTCCGCAGGAAAAAGGTCGCTAGCTATCCTCCTCGCAAAGCTTGACAGGCCTACGGAGTCGAGGGTGACTGACAAAGCAAAAGCAGGATACCGGCTAGACCAGGGATACAGCATCCCCTCCCGCCCAAAGAGGTCCCCTCTATGCTCTCAGGGAGTCATGAGTTCCACACCCGTCCCCGACCCCACTCACCGCAAGCGCGAACTCCCCCAGAACGAGCTCGAGGCTTCCTCCCAACTGAAGCTTGGTGAATTCCAGAATGTGCCTACGTTATCGCTTTCCGAAGCCCGACTGGTGATCAACAAGGTCCTCGATCTGAGGAAGAAGTCGAACAATAAATACGAAGAGAGAGAGTAAGAGAACAGAGGAAGCGAATTGGTTACGGCGATGTCTAACGTCTGATCACTAGAACATTAATCAAAACCCAAGACTATCTCGAAGTATTCGCACGGTTCAAGGAGAAGGAAAACATTGAAGCTGTTGAGCGGCTGCTATCGGCGCACACAGAGTTAGAGTTCTTTGAGAGATCTCAGCTAGGTAATATTCCTCGACCAATCGCACCATCAATTTTGACCTCTGGCTAATCCAAGTATGGCGGCGTGAATAGGAAGCCTATGTTGCGACAATGCTGAAGAAGCCAAAGCCCTCATTCCAAGTATAGGAAATAAGATTTCAGATGCGGATCTACAGGAGCTGCTAGACGAGTTGACCAAACTGAGAAATTTCGTTGAATGAGAGAAAATGTGCCCTATCGGGATTGCATAGAGCGTCGCCGAGCCCGATTAAAGGACTGTTCCACGGCCAATAGAATGAGCAAGGTGGCGCGAGGTCCTCGAGCGATATATTTTCATCACGGCAAACGGAACCGTGCATTGTTCAAAGTCTGCTTATATGCCAGCCCAACCTATCCGCGCTTCCATTGTGCGCTATATATGTTGTCTTTCCCGGGGCCATTTCAATGGTGAAAGAACGTGCACGGTGGCTTACCAAGGCTATGGAATCGTTTCGAGGGACTGATGCGCGGCATTTGGAGAATCCGGAAGTGGAATAAAAGCTGCATTCTAACGGCGTATTTTGATTCGACCCGGAACTCTTTTTCGTGTTACCTGAAAAAGGATAGACCAATGAAATACCCTTGTTTTTTCATTGTAGTTGTTCATTGTTTAGGGTGGAAGAAAATGAATCTATATATCAATCAAACAATGACCCGGGGGGAAGCCTTCAATCCTTATGCGCAACACCTAACATGCACTAAAACTCAAGACCCAAAAATAGAACACGCAGACAAACGGGAAGTCATCGGATGAGCTAGTCTTTTTTAAATGCAACCTCCTCCGGAAGCCTGAACTTTGCGCAGAACATCCTCTTATTCGGTGACACCAACCTGACGCTCCTGATCTCCACTTCTCTTTCTTTATTTCCTGTACCACCCTCGCAATCCTCAGGTGTGATTGTAAATCCGATCTGCTTTGAAATGCGTTCGCAGATCTCCTTCTTTTCAAACTCTCCATCTTCAGTGTTAGTTGAGAAACAGTAAACATGGATGAGCGGGAGACGTCGGTCCGTGTGAGGAGCGAACAGCTGCTCTTGACCGGCGTATACACCGATGAAAGTGTCAAGGAAAGTTATCGCTGAGGCCGGGAGATTCATGATATAATGGTCGAATGTGCGCGGAGAGGTATAAACTTGCGGAGGAGGCGTTTTTCGATCTGGAGACTTGGATCTCTTCTCCTTCTGTGCACTTCGAGAGATCTTTGGCTTGATAACCACCTTCGCCGGCTCTGCTTCGTATAAGCTTTTCGCAGCGTACTTCACGAAGTCTCGCCCGTTCATATTAAATGCCTTCATAAATTCCTGGACTTTGTTTTTCTTCATGCCATATACCATTCTTTCGTAGCCGTGAGGATTCAGGTCATTGGCCCAAACAAATACACGTTTCTTCGCAGCGGGGAGAGCGAATGGACCAACTCCAGCCATAACGTCGCACACCGCTTCTCCTTCTTTAAAAGTGCTCACTAACCGTGTATGTTCGGTGCTCAGCCGGCTATTCCAGTATACCTTTGCGAAATCGAACGAGAACTCGCAATCTTGCTCGTGAGCGATGACATTCGTGTTATTTTCACCTGCCAGAACTTCGAAGGCAAAAGTGCGGAACTCGCTAGTTGCTCCCACGTCATCTATTTTGTTGATAACAGTTCTTACAGTGGTGTTCTTATCCATCAGAATCTCCGCTATCAGATGTCTATACGGTAGGTACTGGTCTCGAAGGTTGAGGTGCGCGATATGGCCGACTTGGGAAAATCCGACCGGTGTTTCTCCCAGTTCATCTTCGGGCAATATCGCAGAGATTATATCCGCTATTTTCCAAAAAAAAAAAAAAAAAAGGAAAAAAAAAAAATTAGCCTTCTTCACATTCTTCTACATGCTGAAAGGGGCTCATAAACTCACGATAGGTCCAATAATCATAGTCCAGCTGTAAATCGAACGGATTCACCTCGACCGTTTTCGCCTCGACCAGTTGTTTGATAGTAGGAGACCACGTTGAGACATCTACCTAAGCCAATGAGCATCACATTCGACTCCAATTCAACTCCGTGAACAAATCATACCGTCCGCTTTCACGCCTTCCCTCAATAGAAGGCATTTTCTCGCTTCATCGTCCTCATTCTTGATCACCTGCGGCTTTCGTATGGGCAAAATCCTGGGCAGGGCGAGCATATCATTACTCTTTGTCAATTCGCTTTTTACCCGGGAAATATTCTTGTTCTCAAGCACTGTCGCCGCTGAAAGGGGTACCGTCTTCTTGAAGAACGATCGGTCGAGAACGCGCATTGCGCGATTGACGGGCGGCCGGAACATGTCTGAAGAGGAATTGGTCGGAGTCTCCTGGGTTACAGGAGCCAGGGACATTTATGTTCGCGTTACGCTCTCGCAGAGTTCAATATTTGGGATCCTTATTTATCTCGGGAGGGTTTGGGAAACCTTTCCGCGCTTTGAATATTGATCTCAGCTAACTAGCGCATGATCTGGGAGCACTCCCGGAATTTTACTGGTGCTCCACAATATTTCGCTCAGGCTCAAGTCTAGAACAAGGTTTTTTCTGTAGTTGTAGAGCTTTCGTTCTGCAGGATTGTACTCCGAATCTGTCACCTTTTTCTCGTAAATTTTCCACTCGGCGGGCAGCAGTCACGTGGGAGCGGGAGATCGACCTGCCGCCCGCTGCGGAGTTGTTGCACCGATTGATAAATCAACGCTGAGATAGTTAAGTAAATAGGGGTATCATTGAAACTATCTTATCCATGTAACTAACTAAAAACGTATGTGGCCCGGTAATATACGAAGTAGATTCATCAACATAAGCAACATCCAATACTTCACCGGCAACCAGCACTGAAACAAAACCAAGTAAACTGCTTGAATAGGGTCATTTCGTTCTCTCATCCGGCTTCAGACTCCCCGCTACCTTGCCCTTTCGATGTTCCCTCTCCGCCTCAAGACACTCAATTCTTCCACGCAGCTCCTTAATCCTCGCATCTCTGGTCCTAATAGCCATTCTAGAGACGTCTCTGCCTTTAGTGATACTCAGTGTCCGTAAATCATATGTATCCAAAAGGTTCACTAGATCATTTCTAGCCTTTTCTGGAAGAGAAATGTGATGTGATTCCAGAAGACCAAGCGTATCAGAAATAAGTTTGCACTGTTGTTGCTGATGCTGTGAGCGCAGTGGATAGCCACGCATAAGTGGTGTAGACGCAAAATGCGCGGGTGTCGGTGTTGGAGGTGGAAGTGGATTTGTTCTCATGGACGGAACAGAATGGTGCAAGGCGCCTGATGGTGGAGCAAGCGGAGGAGGAGTGATATTCCTTTCCATGTTGGAACCTTTAGTTTCCGGCGGTTCATTCACCTGGACCTTGGGCATATTGGCTTTCAAAGTCGACCCGGTCCTTTCCTGGCTCTCCATCAACTTCGTCGCCTCCTGGTCCATCTCCTCGGCCCATCCAAACGAAAAGTCATCATCATCCTCCTCCTCCTCCTCCTGCACCAGTTTTCGCTCTTCCATCTCCTTCGGACGCTCCAGTTCCTTTAACCAGTTAGTCAGCAACTGGTTGTCCTTGTGCGTCCCAACCCGCTGTGTCTTGCTCGGACTCTTTTCCAACGCGGCCACATCGTCATCGCCATCCCGCGTTCTCTTCTGAGCTGTAGTCTCGGGTGTCAGCAAACCTGTTTGCATGGCATCCCTCATTCGCAAGATAGATGGCGTCATCGGAGCGCGACCCATCGTATTCTTCGTCCCCGTCCTCGAGTTCGTCATTAAGCCCCGTCCGGAGCGGCGCCTGGCCTCATCGTCCCAGATGAAGAATTTGCAGCGCTTGCGTTCCGGTTTGGCACATCTATAGACTATTTCGTAGCAGTATATCCATCAGTTTCCTGGAAATGAAAAAAAGAAATAAAATAAGAATTCCATTGCGAAAAGAGATCGTCCAAGTGCCAGCTTGGGGGAGAGAGAGAGGCTCAAATGTAGGAGCTAGCTAGGCACAGTGCAACGAGGCCATCAGACTCACACTTCCGCCCATGATTTTTTCCACTTTTTCTCGCCTCCAGCTCTATCGCTGGAAGGCGTGGGACGCAATCGCAAAGCCATTTTCCATTGATAAGCGCGCCCCCTGTTAATGTGGAAACCTGTCTTCGACTCTCAGTGTTGTTTGTCTGGGCCATAGCGGGTGGAAAACGAGTTGTCATTATGTCGGTTCTCTTTGAGAAAGATAGCGTATATCCATATGAAGCTTAGGTATCATCCGAATCCCATCAGAACTTGCAACTTCATGGAGGGGGGCGCATGAAACGCAACACAGGACAACGAAACGACGACTTGCCCAGGCTCTCAGCCTTGTCACCAGCCTTTCGAGCTTCAAAGTCGCCACGCCACGCCACACCACACCACGTCACACCCATATATGTAGTTTGTTGCCAAAAAAAAAAAGGCAACCACAAAGTAAATATGCAACCCTCCTACGCACAGCACGGTTCGGTTCAGAAGCCAGAAACGTGAAGATCGAAAGACATTAACAATAACTTACCTATGTACGGAGGACTTCCATCAGAGAATCTCTGCACCTCTATTTCGAGCTTCCAACCAGGAACCATATCACAGAGTATCCAATAACAATAAAGAAACAAGCCTACGGAACACATGCAACTCCAAACCAACCACCAAACGCGTCCTCTTTGGCAGCACTTCACTACAGCCCCCCATATCCACCAGGGAAAAAAAGAAGGCCTACTTCTACCTCAAACAATATAACTAACCAAATGATAACAATACGGGGAATCACAGGGAAGGTATGCGGGCGCTATTCCGCCAAAACATGCCTCAACATCAGAGTAAATGACTCTTGAAGTTTCAGTATCTCTCGAATTTCCGGTTTCACTGGCTCTCCAGCCGTTCGTCGCAACCGATCTTGCCTCTTCGCACGACGTTTCCGCTCTAAGGCGATGGGGTCGAGTTCGTCCTCCGCAGAATCTTCATCTGAGGTATCCGATGCAGCATCGGAAATAGCCAAGTCCTCGAGGTCGGCCTAGATAAATCTGTTAGCCTGAAGGGGTATAACTACATACTACAAGGCAAATGAATAAGCACATACCTCGTTCAACCCGAAATCACTACCCTTGAACGTTGCGCTTCCAGGAACGGGTTCCAACGGGGTTCCCTCGGCCGCCATCTTCTGTTTCGTCTTGTCGTGATGCCATTTCTTGCGGTCCATATGCCACTTGATAAGAGAGTTGATTTCCTGGATGGCCACATCTTTGTCGATTTGATTCATGGAAACCGCTCCCTGGAATAACGCATTCATATCAAGGGTGGTTGCAGGCCCTTCTCGAAGAAATACCAGGATATCTTCCAGCCAGCCCATAAGAGCATCGAACAATCCATTATCATGAACATGGACTTCATGGACAAACTTATAGAAACTCTGTTGATGACGGACACACAGGTCTATAAAGGATTGTACTGTTTGATTTGGGTCTGCAGAGACGTCTTGTCTCTGCGCCTTCTCAACCACGGATATCGCATCGTTTGCAAATGCCGCAAAATCGGTGATACTATTATAAACATTCGCAGATTTGTAAACTCGCACAAGTGGCTCGTAGAATATGGTGAAGAGGTCTCGGAAAAGTTGCAATGTCACGGGCTGTAATATGTCAGTCTATCGTTTACTTCTAGGACAAGGGAGTCATCAAGTAGATACCTCCTCAATTATATTAAGCATCATGGCTTTGTCTCGCTGCCTTGTCAACAGCTTAAGCAGCTGTTTCAAGTACGCAAACCACTGCGCATCTTGCAGCATTACATCCTTGATCTAGGTAGAAATTTTCATTAGCAAATATCTAGTATTCATTCAAGACAAGGTATTCCGTACGTTCTCAACAGCGCTGACCCAACCAACGTACGAGTTGAATACCTTCTCGATCTGACTTGTGGTCAGCTCAGGTTGAATTTGTTCAGAGCGCAAAATTGCCACGATGATATCCACGTCGTCATCCTCCGCTTCTTGCCGAATATGATTCTTCAGATCCTCATCCGCATAGGTAAATGTTCGGAGTTTTTCAACCAAAACGGCATCGCCTATTCTAGTAGACAGGGCATCGATGGATTTCTGGAACGCCTTCATTCCATCATGGATAGCCATGGAGAATATCCTTTGAAGTAGGGATCTGGATCCAAACGGCTGGGCAAGGAACAGGTCTAACACGCCGGTCATAACAGCGGCAGGATTGGCAATTCGAATTACGTTTTTAAGGATAGTATAGGGGACTAGTGAATGGATTCTTTTAGCTTGGGCAAACAACTCTGGCGAATTGTCTTCAGCGAGGAAAAGGTGGTATATAGTCGCAGCAACCCTGGAAGATTAACATCATATATTGATGACAACATTTGGCAAAGGGAGCAAACTCACTCGATCCGTAGCCACTCAGCGAATTTTTGATACTGAGGACTTAGATCCTCTACCGTCTCCTTGATACGGATCTCATGGAAAAGCTTCGTTAAGCCATCTTCAAGATGCGACAGACATCAGCAACCTCGTATTTTTTTTGAAGTGATAAAGCAAGATGGGGAGTCTTACTGTTTTCAACGATATCCTGTCGAAATTCTTCCATGTAAACGTCCAACTCCTTAGCACGCTTTCGGGCAATTTCGTAGAACTGCCTCTGCTCCTCTATTCTCTTTGCATCTATATCTTTGCGCCGCTGTATATCCATCTCTTCTTCCTCGTTCAAAGTTACAGGGTTTGCAGTTAGAAACTCTTCCATAGCTTTGGAGGTGGCTATGCGGTCGTTCTGCAACAGCACCCGCAAAAAGGCCCGAAGGGATACTCGCTGTTGCTCACGATACAACGTAACAGGCTCAACTTTTAGCTCTCCAGAACCTCTTGCTGAGTCTCTGGATCTCAGCGATGAAAGTGATGGAGAGTGTCCTAGAGAATTCGGCACGAGCAAGTTCCTAGTGGAACCGTTTCCGTTCTCTTCTGCCGGTCCAGCTTCCGTGGAAAGCGACGACACTGAGGACGCATCATCATCGGCGCCTCCTAGAAGAGCAGACATAGAGCTCTTGTTTTTCCTTGGTAGCGGCGGGAGAATTTTGCCAGGTAGCTCTGTTCGGAGCCTGCTATGAAGCTTAGCGAAGTCTCCGAAACGGCGGCCAACATAGATATCCGGTTTCCCTGGCCGTCGCACCCTGAGCAGAAATTCCTACAGGTCAAATTAGATTTTATAGTCATAGATAGAGGGGGCCAGTGACCGTACCGCATGCTGATGATACCTGACAGTCCGTTTCACGAGCGTAGTTCTCACGCCCGCGACGTTGACATCCCAGCCATTTATTGAATGTCCGTCAGGAACATTGACCAACAATCCTTGCTCGTTGGCACCTCGATCGACCACTTCTATTTCCGAAAACCGTATCCGTTCTTCATATCCCGATGATGTGCGTATGCCCGAGACCATCATCAATTCAACCAACTTCTCGCATTTAAGGGCAAGCTTACGGCGCTTGGTCACCTCATGGCGGTCTTCGGAGGAAGAGATGTGTTTGTTGGCGAAGGATTCCAGGAACTAATATTTCCCCCCCAAACCACAACGGGATAACCCATCAGTAATCGTGTCAATGAGCAGCCCGGATGAGCCATCATGCCCTTGTCCCCGGTGAAACTCACGACTTGCAGTTTAGCCTGCCAGAACTCCTCCTCCTTCGCCTGATCGAGGAAAGGAAAATTGCGAACGTGACGGACGAATATGTATCGTAGAATGGGAAGTTCCGAGTCAACAGGAGCCACTTCACCGAACTCAGATTTGAAAGGAGCTCCGAAGCGGCGGAGTGCGGTTGGAGAATTGAGCTCAGCGATCTCGCTCCGAACTTGGCGGTTGATCAGTTCTCGCTTAAGATCTAAATGGTCACGCCTCCATCAGTATGCTACGGGCCAAGAATTTTTAAATCAGTGCTATAAAGGGGGTGATGCAACGTAGGAAAAAAAAAAAATGGTGGTTACAGTGTTCCTGCTTCCCCGTCAACACCTGGGTGAGCGGTGGGGGACCCATGTCTTCGTTTCCATTTCCAATTCCCATCTTCCGGGTGAATATCGAGTCGAATACCGAAGAGAAGGACGACGAAAGAAAGAGGTTTGGAATGGTAGGGTGTAAATGGTGATTTCACAGCACTCCGCACCGGACGCCGGGGATACACACACTCTGAGCTCTGGAGCTCGTAGATGGCGGCTAAGCGATTGTTGCTTCTGTGTGAAGCGTGTGTAAGGATATGGTTCCAAAAGAGCGAAAAGGGCCCAAATTAAAGCCTTTTTTTTTTTAAAAAAAAAAACTGTTTGCTTAAAATGCTGGGAAGTATTGTAAGACAGTGGGAGCTGGAAAGTAGGAAGTTATTCCTCGCGATGCCATCACGATCACCACTCCCTACCCCACAATAGGACCCACGGGAAACACCAACGGCCTTCCAAGAGATGCAGAGTCAATGTTTGTTGAATGTGCTATGCATTCTGCTGCACAGGGTGACTACAGAGGACAGCCGATATCAAGAGCAAGAAATCCAGGGATCCGTCTTGCTGTCGCAGGAGACTGGCTGGCTTTGTCTATGTATGTCGAGGCAGCATTGCGCAATCTACGTAATCACCGTCACACGCCTCCTGCACTCCAGGTGCTTTTTTAACTACAAACTAACGCGTTAGAGTTCCAGCCAACTTCTGAACACAAACCAGCAAGATAATTCCAGCTCTTCACAGAGAACATTTGTTCAAGTGAGCAATCTATTCGTGCTCTCCTGGGCTGAAATTATCTTCCCCTCCCCCGATCCACACCCCACTCCCAAAGCAACGCTGGCTCGCCGGCCCTATCCAGCTCGCTCGCTCACTGGCTGGGCGGTAGCTTGGACCGTGTGGTCATTAGCCACTCTTTGCGCCACACGTCACCCGCCGGCTCCATCTGGCCAGGGAGGAACTTTTTGCTTTTCCCCCCTCAGCTGCTCGCAACCGCTGCAGATGTGCTCGAATACGATGCCGGCTGACCCGAAGTGCATGGCCATTTGCCGTGCAAACCAGCAGTGTAGTCTCACATATGGATTTCACTCAAAAGCAC